AGGACTATGGCTTAGCCATGGACATTTTTAGTGGCAGCAGGGATAGCAGAACGTTTTGATATAAGATTTGTGTAGGTGGGCTTGAAAATGAGGGAGTGTGGCAGTTTAGAAATCATGTCCTGATTTTTCAGCTCACACTATAGCTTTTGTCAGCCCCCACTCTAGTTTTGAACATTCCGCCATTCATTCCTATGGGACCAATTTCACCACAAAAACTAAAAAATTTTGTGAACCATTTGGCGAAACGTTCCACAAAGTAATAGCACACCAATCGGCAACAATCCGCACATTTCGGTATATTACTGTCTATGTAGTGTAAAAAACTGTGGGGAGGAGTTTAGGGTGGTAAATTTGGCTATAATAATAAGAATATATATGTGCGATAACAGTAAGTGGTCTTGCCATGCAAGAATACTTAATTAAATGCCGGCCGTAGACGGGAAAAAATCGGCCGATTTTTTTTACCGTTGGTGTTAAGGTCGGCCTATTGAACGACCGATTTTTTTTTTTAAATAACGGCCAGTTTTCGACCCGTCTATGGCCTGCATTAGAGTGATGATGAAAATATAAGCACGTGATTAGAAATTTTTTATTAGTTTGACAAAATTAAAGCCTAAAAAATAAACCTGAATTGGTTATCATGGGCTGCAGTAATGAATTGCTACTTTGCCACTTGCTTATCCTTTAGAAAGAAAGCATTTAGTAAGTAACTGCGTCGGGTGGACCCGCACTTGCTGACGTCACGCCGCTGTTGACAAAGGTCGGAACGGCGGCCATCTTGGTATTCCATTTTACCTTAATTCTTACCTGTTTCCATGTGGATTGTCTTTTATTCATTATTTAATAAAACACTACACTATATACTACTTTTGGCTCCTGTGGTGAGTTATTCCTCATAGGAGAGGGTCCACCTGCGTTTTTTGCCCTTGGCTGAGCATCCCTTGCAGAGGCTTCATTGCTGTTACATGTACCCAGATGAGATGTGCTTACATGCTGTTTACCAGTAGATGTCTGGTGAGTGTACATCTGACAGAGGTGGTGGATTCCCTATTGGATTATATTTCACTGTGATTGCCGTACTTATATCCTTATGGACAATTTATAGCTCTTACACTGATATTTTATGGACTTTATATATTCTCACTTTTATGCTGCACTTTACTGTTTCACATTTATTGAACATTTTTTTACATTTGATTTTTATATGCTGCACTTCTGTTGCGCTGCTATTTTTTTTCCACTATATGTCAGATTGATTTTGCACTTTATTTTCACTATAAAATCCTTCATTTATTTTAGTGCTGCACTTTTTATATATTTATACAAATTATTTACAATTTAAAGAGTAACTACACTTTGAGAAGAAAAAAAATTCCCCTCTGGATGATCTATGTACATTGCAAATATTTTACCAAACTTTGTTGCAGATTCCTACCTTTTACTATTTTAAAGAAATAGCTGTTTGCCTGTGTTCATGTGCAAAGTGAATGTGAATGGGATTGACTTTTTCATTATTCAGCTGCTGCACTTGCAGGGTTCTAATGAGGAGAGTGGCAGGGTCTGAATCCCTTTAGACATAATTAACCCTTTGGGAGTATCTCACCAAAATTGAAATGTTTGTTACAGAGGACAAAATGATGACCAAAATGTGACTTGTATCTTAGCACAGACCTCTGGGAAAATCTGTCAGCCAATCACACAAGTAGGAAATGACAATTATGGGGGGCGTTCTGTACACCATCCGTGCATAGAACACCTCAAGGCTTCCATATTACATTGCATTTTATAGAAAATTACAGCACTGCAGATTGAAAAGGAAAGGCAATTTTTAATAATGCCATATTACAATATGGCTTGTGTCACCTCCATCCTACGCTCCCTCACCCACATCTTTAATTTCTCCCTCTCCTCCGGCACTTTCCCCTCCCCTCTGAAACATGCACACACATCACCCCCATACTTAAAAACCCCTCCCTGGACCCCAATGACCCGAACAACCTCAGACCCATCTCCCTGCTGCCATTTATATCTAAACTCCTCGAGCGCCTAGTCCACACCCGCCTAAATCTCTCACCTCAACGACAACAACCTCCTCGATCCCCTACAGTCCGGCTTCCGTCCCCTACACTCCACCGAAACAGCCTTACCCAAACTCTCCAACGACCTGCTAACCGCCAAAGCTAATGGCCACTATTCAGTGCTCCTACTCCTTGACCTCTCTGCGGCCTTCGACACAGTCGACCACCCCCTCCTCCTCAAAAGACTACACTCCCTCGGCCTCAGAGATTCTGCTCTCTCCTGGCTCTCACCCTACCTGTCACAACGCTCTTTCAACGTTACCTATAATGCTACCACCTCCCCCTCACTCCCCCTCTCTGTTGGGGTCCCTCAAGGCTCTGTCCTCGGGCCCCTTCTCTTCTCCATCTACACCTCCTCCCTTGGCCAACAAATACACTCTCACGGCTTCAACTACCACCTCTATCCTGACGACACACAAATCTATCTCTCAACCCCCCACCTCACCCCCTCGGTCTCCGCCCGAATCACACACCTACTGAGCGACATATCAGACTGGATGTCGCTCCACTTCCTTAAACTGAACCTCTCCAAAACCGAGTTTCTTGTCTTCCCCCAGCCCGGACACCACACCCCATTGACTTCTCTGTCACATCTAACAACGCCACCATCAAACCCGCCCCGCAGGCCAGAGTACTTGGTGTCATTCTGGACTCCAACCTATCCTTCCAGCCCCAAGTCCAATCTTTAACAAACTCGTGCAGACTCCACCTCCACAACATCGCCAAAATCCGCACGTTCCTAACCCCAGAAACCACTAAACAAATCATCCACTCCCTCATCATATCACGACTCGACTACTGCAGCTCCCTCCTCACTGGCCTGCCTCGCCGCTGGCTATCCCCGCTTCAGTCGATCCTGAATACGGCTGCTAGACCCATTCACCTTTCTAACCGCTCCATCTCCACCAACCCCCTCTGCCAATCCCTCCACTGGCTTCCGATCGCGCAACGGATCAAATTCAAGATCCTAACACTGACGTACAAAGCTGTCCACCATACTGCCCCGAACTACATCACTGACCTAATATCCACGTACTGCCTAGCACGCACACTCCGCTCCTCACAAGACCTCCTTCTCTCTAGTTCCCTGGTCTCCTCCTCCCATGCCCACCTCCAGGACTTCTCCAGGGTGTCACCCATCCTCTGGAACTCCCTGCCCCAACCCATCAGATTATCACCTACTCTCCTCTCCTTTAGGCGCACCCTGAAAACCCATCTCTTCAGGGAAGCCTACCCCACCCCCTGCTAACCTGCCGACCTCCCCCACTCTTCCTACCACTCCATCCCCCACAGCTATCTCCTCCTGTACCACTATCCCCTCCCTCCTAGATTGTAAGCTCGAAAGAGCAGGGCCCTCGATCCCCTCATGTTTTGCATTGTATTGGTATTGTTCTGTCACATGTTCTGTCCCCCTTTGTAAAGTACAGCGCTGAGCGAACCATTTGCGCTTTATAAATACTGTATAATATTAATAATAATGTTATATTTTTTTAATTGCAATATTTTTTTTCCACAAAGTGGAGTTACCCTTTAAGTTTCAAGGTTTCAACCTTTTGCAACATGTTACACCTGTATTTAGGATATAACATGCATGTTGTAACATGATACTAAGCACCCCCCCTTCCCCCCAGAATGCCCTGAACTTAGCCTTTAAAGAGGTTTTCATCTTAAATGGAAACTCCCATCTAGGTTTAATCCCTTCCATTTAGCTGTTTGCATATGAAATCTGAAACTGCCACTACTTGTTTCAGTTAAACAACAGATGTGGGATCGTTAAACGCTTCTGAGCATGTCTTTTATGAAAATGTAAAAAGTTCGCAAAAATTTCAAAAAAAATCCTTCTGAGCTACGGGAGAATCAGATAAGGGGATGATCGATTTTCTAATGGATATCCTATATAAAATACACCTGTCTCTAACTAAATCTTAGAAACCCAACATCCTAGACCAATGGCTTAGAACATGTCTGTCTCTTCTTATAGCTGGTCTTGTACACCCCAACAAACTTCAAATCTGTCTGCACTCAGCATCCAAGACACGAAGTCCACCGAAATCCACCCGTTTTGCAAATAAGTACATACATCTTAGAGTTCCATGGAACAAACAAAACGCTGGTAAATAGGATATGAGTGATTTGCTAGAGCTAAATTCTCTGCACTTGCAGTGTCAGGGCTCCTGTGCATCACAGCACCAGTTAGGAGAAGAGTGTGTAGGCACCTTTGAGGGTGTGATATTTGAGAGAAGAGTTAAATTCACAATGTTTTTTTGGTTACAGCATTACATTAAGGTAAGTGGTTTGTTATAGTAAATACAAAAATGAAGACTTTGTGCTTGTAGTGCAGGTAATTTTTTGAGTGCAGGATAGTAGTTGATCATATCCTTCTATTACACGAGGGCTATGTAATCCTCTGCAATCTTTGTTTTACAGTATATAGACTAGAACACTGTACCATCTCTACAAAATAGGTGTGTTCATAGGCAGGCCATACACGATTCATTGTTTTCATTCAACCAGCAGGATAAATGAAAAAAATGAACAGATTCCCCATCCATTTGATGTGGATGGAGGAATTACTCCTGCTGAGCTATTGAATACAGAATACAACGATCAGTGTTGCCGGCACCGATTGTTTGGGATTGTTTTGTAAAAACCTGACAGTCTGGTTGTACACAAGTTGATGGATAGATCAATTTGTGTACAACCAACTAGCCCATACATGGATTGAAAAATTGGGTTGGTCCCTGCTGAACCAGATGAATTTCAATTCACCTATGGCTAACTTTAGTAACATAAACTATCATTCTAAACAATAGGGTATAAAATACAGGATGTCAAAACAAATTATTTTTGATTTGCACTAAGATACAAATAAACTACTAACACGCATCTACCGTTCTGTCCTCAACATTTCTCTTCACTCACCATCTTTCCAGAGCTCTGCTGTATATTTATCTGTGCTCTGATGAAGGAGAGTGGCCACATTATCATTCAAAGGGTCCATGTTCTTCATCAGCCATTCATCTGCTTTATAGTCCACCTGTCAAAAGCCCAGAATAGTTATAAAATACGAAGACATGTACACTGTTATCACAGAGCAGGCTTGTACTTTTCAGGACACTGCACACTGGCGACAAGCAACAAACTCAATAAACATGTGATCTAGCCTTTGTAATGAGAACATATGCAACAAAGAAGCACAAAACATACTGCAAAAATATACAGTGGATGTCAAGAAATTGTTTACAAGAAAAAAAAAAAAATATATATATATATATATCTACAGTGCCTTGAAAAAGTATTCATACCCCTTTACATTTTCCACATTTTGTCATGATACAACCAAAAACGTAAATGTATTTTATTGGGATTTTATGTGACAGACCAACACAAAGTGGAGCATAATTGTGAAGTATAAGGAAAATGATAAATGTTTTTCAAAAATGTTTACAAATAAATATGTGAAAAGTGTGGCGTCCATTTGTATTCAGCCCAGGGGCGGACTGACAACTCATGGGGCCCCCGGGCAATAGGGGATCATGGGGCCCCTGTGTCCTTGCCCAAACTCAAAAAAGTCTATGAAAAAGGTACCAGGGGCATCTCATGGGGCCCCCTACTGACCCCGGGCCCTCGGCAGTGCCCGAGTTTCCAAATGGTCAGTCCGCCCCTGATTCAGCCCCCCCTATACTTTGTAGAATCACCTTTCGCTGCAATTACAGCTGCAAGTATTTTTGGGGATGTCTCTACCAGATTTGCACATCTAGAGAGTGACATTTTTGCCCATTCTTCTTTGCAGAATAGCTCAAGCTCTGTCAGATTGGATGGAGAGAGTCTGTGAACAGCAATTTTCAAGTCTTGCCACAGATTCTCAATTGGATTTAGGTCTGGACTTTGATTGGGCCATTCTAACACATGAATATGCTTTGATCTAAACCATTCCATTGTAGCTCTGGCTGTATGTTTAGTGTTGTTGTGTCCTGCTGGAAGGCGAACCTCCACCCCAGTCTCAAGTGTTTTGCAGACTCTAACAGGTTTTTGTCTAAGATTGCCTTGTATTTGGCTCCATCCATCTTCCCATCAACTCTGACCAGCTTCCCTGTCCCTGCTGAAGAAAATCTTCCCCACATGATGTTGTCACCACCATGTTTCACGGTGGGGGTGGCGTGTTCAGGGTGATGTGCATTGTTAGTTTAACGCCACACAGCGTTTTGCTTTTAGGCCAAAAAGTTCAATTTTGGTCTCATATGACCAGAGCACCTTCTCCACATGTTTGCTGTGTCCCCTACATGGCTTCTTGCAAACTGCAAATGGGACTTCTTATGGCTTTCTTTCAACAATGGCTTTCTCCTTGCCACTCCTCCATAAAGGCCAGATTTCTGGAGTGCACGACTAAAAGTTGTCCTGTAATAGATTCTCCCACCTGAGCTGTGGATCACTGCAGCTCCTCCAGAGTTACCATGGGCCTCTTGACTGCTTCTCTGATTAATGCTCTCCTTGCCCAGCCTGTCAGTTTTAGGTGGACAGCCATGTCTTGGTAGGTTTTCAGTTGTGCCATACTCTTTCCATTTTCGGATGATGGATTGAACAGTGCTCCGTGAGATGTTCAAAGCTTGGGATATTTTTTTTATAACCTAACCCTGCTTTAAATGTCTGCACAACTTTATCCCTGACCTGTCTGGTGTGTTCCTTGGCCTTCATGATGCTGTTTATTCACTAATGTTCTCTATCAAACCTCTGAGGGCTTTACAGAACAGCTGTATTTATACTGAGAATAAATTACACACAAGTGGACTCCATTTACTAATTAGGTGACTACTGAAAGCAATTGGTCCATTAGATTTTAGTTAGGAGTATCAGAGTAAAGGGGGCTGAATACAAATGCATGCCACACTTTTCAGATATTTATTTGTGAAAAATTTTGAAAACCATTTATCATTTTCCTTTCACTTCACAGTTATGTGCCACTTTGTGTTGGTCTATCACATAAAATCCCAATAAAATACATTTACGTTTTTGGTTGTAACATGACAAAATGTGGAAAACTTCAAGGGGTATGAATACTTTTTCAAGGCACTGTATATACACATACAATATATATAACATATATATGCACTGGCCAATTTATTAGGTACACCTGTTAAATTGCTTGGTAACACAAATTGCTAATCAGTTAATCACATGGCAGCAGCTCAATGCATTTATGCTTCTAGACGTGGTTAAGACATTTTGCTGAAGTTCAAACCAAGCATTAGAATGGGGAAGAAAGGGGATTTAAGTGACTTTGAATATGGCATGGTTGTTGGTGCCAGGCAAGCTGGTCTGAGTATTAAAAAAACTGCTGATCTACTGGGAATTTCATGCACAACTATCACTAGGGTTTACAGAGAATGGTCTGAAAAAGAGAAAATATCCAGTGAGTGGAAGTTCTGTGGACAAAAATTCCTTGTTGATGTCAGAGATCAGAGAAGAATGAGTAGACTGGTTACTGCGACATTCAGATGGTAGGATCAAAATTTGACATAAGCAACATAAAAGCATGGATCCATCCTGTCTTTTATCAGCGGTTCAGGTTGGTGGTGTAATGGTGTGGGGGATATTTTCTTGACACTACCAAGGAGTACCTAATAAAGTAGTAAAGTGGTGTGTGTGTGTGTGTATATATATATATATTGTGGGAACTCGCTTCAAGTGGTAGAGCTCTTCTCTTTAAAGCACACAGCAACTCACTTCTTTAAGGGCCTTTTTGCGCAATTTTATTTAAAAGAAAGTTCACATAACACAAATGCTTCCCACACAGGGGTATCCACGATCAAACAAATTCAGCCTTCTGGCTCTTTCAGCTACACAGCTCACTGTCTGTCTCCTGCAGACTCTTCCCAAATTATGACCACTAGCACACAGCTAGTCTGGCTTCCACCTGCCTCCAAGGCAGAGACCTCCTGTCTGCCAGGCTGGAGCCCTCCTAACTCCGTTTGCCGGGGTGGAGCCCAGAATCATGGCCTGGCCTCCCCTAAAAGGCTTGCACACACCTGTGCAATCAGCACACTGGCTGCTCCCAAAATATGGGCCCAGGATTGGAGATTTCATCCCTCCCAAATCTCTAAGAAATCTCCAGGCTACAGGTCCCAAAACAGGCTTTACCAACCAAAGAGGAAACTGATAAACCAGTTTCCTCTGCATTATGAGATCTGCCTGGAGCCCCTCAACCTGTATAGTTGAGAATCCTGGGTGTCCATCATGATTTCCACCATGGCAGGATACCGTACTGCCACAATATATATATATATATATATATATATATATATATATAAATATACACACACCAAATTCCAAATTTCCCAAAGTATTGGGATGCCTGCCTTTATACGCGCATGAAGTCTTAGTCTGTAGGGTTTAGTATTGAGTTGGCCCACCCTTTTCAGCTATAACAGGTTCACCTCTTCTGTTAAGGCTGTCCACAAGGTTTAGGAGTGTGTCTATGGGAATGTTTGACCATTCTTCCAGAAGTGCATTTGTGAGGTCAGGCACTGATGTCTCCACTCTAATTCATCCCAAAGGTATTCTATCGGGTTGAAGTCAGGACTCTGTGCAGGCCAGTCAAGTTCTTCCACCCCAAACTCGCTCATCCATGCCTTTATGGACCTTGCTTTGTGCACTGGTGTGCAGTCATGTTGGAACAGGAAGGGGCCAACCTTAAACTGTTCCCATAAAGTTGGGAGCATGAAATTGTCCAAAATGTCTTGATATGGTGACACCTTAAGAGTTCCCTTCACTGGAACTAAGGGGCCAAGCTAAACCTCTGAAAAACAACCCCACACCATAATCCCCCCTTCTCCAAACTTTACATTTGGCACAATGCAGTCAGGCAAGTACCATTCTCCTGGCAATCACCAAATAAAGACAAGTTCATCAGAGTGCCAGATAGAGAAGCGTAATTCGTTACTCCAGAGAACACATCTCCACTGCTCTAGAGTTCAGTGGTGGCGTTCTTTACACCACTGCATCTGACGCTGTGCATTGCACTTGGTGATGTAACGCTTGGATACAGCTGCTTGGCCATATAAACCCATTCCATGAAGCTCTCTACACACTGTTGTTGTGCTAATCTGAAGGCCAAACAAAGTTTGGAGGTCTTTAGCTAATGACCCTACAGACAGCTGGCAACTTCTGCACACGGTGCGCTTCAACATGTGCTGACCCTGCTCTGTCATTTTACGTGGCCTACCACTTTGTGGCTGAGTTGCTGTTGTTCCCAGTTGCCTCCACTTTGTTATAACGCCACTAACAGTTGACCGTGGAATATTTAGTAGCAAGGAAATTTCACGGATGGACTTATTGCACAGGTGGCAACCTATCACGGTACCACGCTTGAATTCACTAAACTTTTGAGAGGGACCCATTCTTTCACAAATGTTTGTAGAAGCAGTCAGCATACCTAGGTGTTTGCTTTTATACACCTGTGACCATGGAGGTGATTGGAACAACTTAATCCAATGATTTAGAGGGGTGTCCCAATACTTTTGGCAATATAGTGCATATATAAAATCTAGAACTCATATTACATTAAACATACCATTTGATAATTATATAATGTACATTTTCAAAACTCTTACACATATAAATATGACATACATAGACCTACTCAGTAAGGCACTGCGAACAACAAGTGGAATGTTTAAAGAACAATTAAAAATACCAGAGTTCAACTTTCTAGAATCAGCTAAATGATGGCTGACAAGCTATTAGTCACTGTAATACACATTGCTGATCACTACATTATTTAAATTGTATATTTAAACACAAGAAAAAAAATTTAAATACTGCAACTTACCAGTCCTTTAGACATGGTGGCTGAATTAGTTTTCTTTTAATCAGACCTTTTTTGCCCTTATTTTACATGCCAGCAGCACACACCCTGTCCTAGGATGACAACACTGGAGCACTGTTACCACCCACCTGGCTTTGGTGACAGAAGACCTCCCTCCCTTTCCATCTCTATAACATTAGGTTGAGGTGTTGTATAGTACAGAGTAGTAATGCACAGGCAGGAAGTTACATGCTCTCTAGATTTCTGGCAGGATCAACAAGAATTTATGTGCAACTATCAAACAGATATAACAAAACAGGCTTAATGGTATAATATTTAAACAGGCCATGACCGTGTTTACATATACTTTGGTATACCCAGTAATTGGGAACTGCACAACTAGACAGCATGGACAGCAAGGTGCCTCTTTCTAACTACCCACCTATATTATCTGTGTACCTTGACCTATTTTATATGGATAACAAATAAAGGGTTCAGAATGCTTTACAATACAGACATGACAATATGACTCACCTTGCCAGCATAGTGGATTATACACAGATCAGCCTTGTCTCGCAGTTGTCTAGGCTTCTGGAATTTAGGATGGGTGCCAAGTTCTTGGATAACCTTCTCCACAAAACTTTTATCAGTGGCTTTGGGGAACCAGCATTCTTCATCCAGCAGGGATAGGACACCTGGAGGATTGGCCTGAAAGCAAGAACAAGGGCACTAATCTCTGTTCTTTTACTTGTCTCTTTTTTATTATACGTGTCAAGCACTTTTACTTTACCCTTCTATATGGTTTTCAAACAAACTCAGCCCCTCCCAACTCAATTATTGTTCAGTTATGGATCAGTCTGTTTCCAGAATGGGGGCTGAACTGTAAACTATGCCTTTTTATTTTCAAGGCGGGCTGCATGAATAGTATACTGTATGTACATACCATGGTCCTGACCACAAACACTAACACAGATGTCTTCAGACCTATTTTCAAGTGGCTGGCAATCAAGGTTGGAAAATGCAGTTCATATATATGAGAAACGTCTGCACTGCTTTTGTGAATTGTTTGGTTCCTTCTTGGAGAGAAATATCATCACTTTCTGTTCTGACAGGAAGTTAAGAGAAATGTTCCCAAAGGGGATAGTTTTAGGCAGGGGCGGACTGACAACTCATGGGGCCCCCGGGCAATAGGGGATCATGGGGCCCCTGTGTCCTTGCCCACACTCAAAATACATCCAAAAAAGCCTATAAAAAGGTACAAGGGGCATTTCATGGGGCCCCCTACTGACCCGGGCCCTCCGTCAGTGCCCGAGTGCTCAAATGGTTAGTCCGCCCCTGGTTTTAGGTAGCATTTGCATATAAAGTTGTACTTTATGGTAAACAGTTCATAACAGTCTCTGTGCTGCCTCCTTCACAGCAATCATACGGCATGGTAATCCTTCAATAACTGCATGGAGATATGTAGTATGCACACATATTTGAAAAGGATGAGGCATTTTGCAGCTGACAGTTGACAACCAAGCATCTAAAGACTTATTTATCACATAAAATAAATATACATTTTATAATATCTATAATGAATCTTACTGTATTATCTTCATTTCCCCTTAAGAACCTACATGGACCATATTAGCATGCTACTAACCTAATAGCTGTAGCTCACTTTTGTTCACATGACCTTTGCCATGGCTGTAGTTACAGTCATGGCCGAAATTGTTGGCACCCTTGATATTTCTCCAGGAAATCATGTATTTCTCACGAAACGTATTGCATTAACACATGTTTTGCTATACACATGTTTATTCCCTTTGTGTGTATTGGGACAAAACAAAAAAAAGGGAGGAAAGAAAGCAAATTCGACATAATGTCACACAAACCTCCAAAAATGGGCTGGACAAAAGTATTGGCACCCTTTCACAACTGCGGATAAATAAGAATGTTACAAGCATGTGATGCTCCTGTAAACTCACCTGGGGCAAGTAACAGGTGTGGGCAATATAGAAATCACACCTGAAAGCAGATAAAAAAGGAGAGACGTTCACTTAACCTTTGCATTGTGTGTCTGTCTGTGCCACACTAAGCATGGACAACAGAAAGAGGAGACGAGAACTGTCTGAGGACCTGAGAACCAAAATTGTGGCAAAATATCAACAATCTCAAGGTTACAAGTCCATCTCCAGAGAACTAGATTTGCCTTTGTCCACAGTGCGCAACATTATCAAGAAGTTTGCAACCCATGGCACTGTAGCTAATCTCCCTGGTCGTGGACGGATGAGGAAAATTGATGAAAGATTGCAACGCAGAATAGTCCGGATGGTGGATAAGCAGCCCCAAACATGTTCCAAAGACATTCAAGCTGTCCTGCAGGCTCAGGGAGCATCAGTGTCAGCGCGAACTATCCGTCGACATTTAAATGAAATGAAACGCTATGGCAGGAGACCCAGGAGGACCCCACTGCTGACACAGAGACATAAAAAAGCAAGACTACAGTTTGCCAAAATGTACTTGAGTAAGCCAAAAGCCTTCTGGGAAAACGTCTTGTGGACAGATGAGACCAAGATAGAGCTTTTCGGTAAAGCACATCATTCTACTGTTTACCGAAAACGGAATGAGGCCTACAAAGAACAAAACACAGTACCTACGGTAAAATATGGTGGAGGTTCAATGATGTTTTGGGGTTGTTTTGCTGCCTCTGGCACTGGGTGCCTTGACTGTGTGCAAGGCATCATGAAATCTGAGGATTACCAAAGGATTTTGGGTCGCACTGTAGGGCCCAGTGTCAGAAAGCTGGGTTTGCGTCCAAGATCCTGGGTCTTCCAGCAGGACAATGACCCCAAACATACGTCAAAAAGCACTCAGAAATGGATGGCAAAGAAGCGCTGGAGAGTTCTGAAGTGGCCAGCAATGAGCCCAGATCTAAATCCCATTGAACACCTGTGGAGAGATCTTAAAATTGCTGTTGGGAAAGGTGTCCTTCCAATAAGAGAGACCTGGAGCTGTTTGCAAAGGAAGAGTGGTCCAAAATTCCGGGTGAGAGGTGTCAGAAGCTTATTGATGGTTATAGGAAGCGACTGATTTCAGTTATGTTTTCCAAAGGGTGTGCAAACCAAATATTAAGTTAAGGGTGCCAATACTTTTGTCCAGCCCATTTTTGGGGTTTTGTGTGACATTATGTCATATTTGCTTTTCTGCCTCTGTTTTATATTTGTTCCAATACATACAAAGGGAATAAACATGTGTATAGCAAAACATGTGTTAATGCAATACCTTTTTTGTGTGAAATACTTGATTTTCAGGAAAAAAATATCAAGGGTGCCAACAATTTCGGCCATGACTGTATATGATAACAGCTAATAGAATATTCTGAGTATCATTTCCTCAGCTCCTCTGCTGGAAAGTTTTGTCTCAATAAATAATGCAATAAGATTCCAGCTCCCTGACATATTTACCAAAACATCAATTCAAAATAGTGTTGCGCTGTCAACCAAAAAACAGTGAAATTAATAATCTGAGAGTGCAATAAATGAATTAATAACAAAGTTCATTTGTTAAATCAATTAATGAAGTCCAACATAACTGAAAAGTAATCTTCATATATCCAGTGTATACCAGCCACCTTGTGAATAAAGAGCCACTTACCAGACTGTTAGACCCCGAATTATAAGAGGTCTAAGCACTGCCGTAACTCTGGGCAGGCATGATGACATCGCTGCTAAACTCCGTCCAGCAAATGTTTTCCGACGGGATTTCTTTCAGTGGCATCGGAGGTAGGGACACTCTGATGCCTCTGGAAAACATCCCTTCGGACAAAACGTGTGCTGGACGGAGTTTAGCAGTGATGTCATCATGCCTGCCCAGAGTTACGGCAGTGCTGTGTGTTCTGCTTTTATTACCTCTTTGCTTGTAAGCATTTTATCTGTTTGTACTAATGAATTATATACAACAATTCATTATGGGATATCCTTGTTCTCTCCTTGGTGTGCGTTTGCAGTGGTGAGATCGTTTTACGAGAAGTCATCCAGTGACCATTCTGGGGCATGCCATATTTATGCGAGGCTTGAGGCAGAGTTGGCTGTGAGAAAAAGTGAGCTGGAGCTATCCATTCATTCATCCATGTGGGATGTCTTGTCATCTAAATACTGACAGAGACCACTTATGATGCGGGGTCTAAATGTCTGGTAAGCGGCTCTTTATTCACATGGTAGCTGGTGTGTATTGGATATATGAAGATTACTTTCAACTTTTGAAGGACTTTATAAATTGATTTAACACTGGACTTTATAATTGATTTATTTATTGCACTCTGAGATTATTAATTTCACTTACTGTTTTTCGATTGACAGCTCAAGAGTATTTTGAATTGATGTTTTTGACACTTGTGTGTAGATATCAGTGAGTGTGGCAGTCAATGATTTCACACTGATTGTTGATGAAATTTGATTATTGTTTTCCCTAGCGTGGGATATATGTATTATTTATTCATATATTTACCAACCGTGGTGTTGCTGTTAATGGTCAAAGATCCACAGAGGGGCTTACCTAAGATTGGAATGTTTGTAGGTATAGCTATAAAATGGAATAACAGTAAGTGACTTTCCTTTGTAGGTGGACCTAACAACAGCTAATCAGACAGAAGTGACAAAAGTTGCAATATTTTCTCCTCACCGGTCTCTCAATGAGATCAATGCAAGGCTGCAGGTCCAGGCCAAAATCAATGAAGTTCCACTCAATGCCTTCCCGCTGGTATTCCTCTTGTTCCAGAATGAACATGGTGTGATTGAAGAGCTGCTGCAGTTTCTCATTGGTGTAATTAATACAAAGCTGTTCAAATGAATTCAGCTGCAAACATGATATGTCAGAAATGAATTATTATATTATTATGTATATCATATTATGAAACCAAAATTACCAAACTTTAGTACTGTTGTACATTAGAAAACTGGGTGAGGCACAATGTGAAATTACATGTTGCAAGAAAGTAGATTTGTATCACAGTATTCAAGGTGAAGGAAAGTACTGAATAATAAAGTAAAGGCCCAAGAACTTGAAGTGATATTAAGTCCTCCATTTTTCGGCACTTTCAGCAGTTGTTTTAATCACTTAAACAGAGTATACAGCTTCCTTATCTTGTAAATGCTTGCCTACGTTCCAGTTTAAGCTGGTGCCATGACTGCTATCCCAAGTTTCCTGTTTCAGGGTGGCTCCTTGCAGGATCCTGTGGAGCCACCCTTGCATGCAGGGTCTAGAGTTGTATTTTCCTCTACACCAGCCTTTTTCAACTGGGGTGCATTCTGGGTTCGTCAGGGTTGCTTTGGCAAAATGCCTAAAAATTACCACAAATTGCCCAAAAAATGTGTACAAGCCAGCAGGTGAATCAAGCCTGCCTTTTGTTACACAAAGCCACCGGTTCTGAAAAAGTGTGCAACATTACAACTTTGGGCATTGTGCGGGCTAACCGCCAGCGTCTCAACAACCGCTGATGTCATCAGTTAATAATGAGGACATTGGGTGCCTGCACAGCATCCTTGTTTGACATCCTCCCTGTCTATCAGCACTGGGGCCATGTCAGCTGCGTGGTGGAGAGAAAATGAAGGAGAAGAAATGCTGGAATACTAGTCAGTGCAAATGTGTATTTGCTTTGTAAGAATAAATCATCTCTATTGTTGGGTGTCCTACATGTGTAACATTATTCATTTTGTTTTTTACATTCTAGAATGAAGTGACTGGACATTTTGTAAGTATTTTAAAGGATGCCTTGACTGGAGTTGAGAAAAGTTGGGAAACTGCTCTACATTGTCCGCATCAATAGAAACACACAGCCCTGTAGCCTAGGATGGCAAGGCTTTACCCTGCTACTCCCTCCCCCCCCCTTCTCCAACCTAACAAAAAGGCTGGAGACTGCCCTGTCAACTGTTAACTCTTTCATGTAAAGACTGGGAGTTCAGGGAAGCAGTACTGAGAGAGCAAGACCCAGCAGGATTGAAAGCTGAAAACAGCAAGTGCTGGGTAAGAATTTTACCAAATAGTTTACAGGGGAAATTTTATTTCATTATGCTCGGTATGTTCAGCTAAAACACACCAAGGGTTTAATACTACCTTATTGTGAGCTCAGTATTAATCATATCAAATCTGTAGGTGAGAATTCAGCAGACTTTAACATATGATAAAAAAACACAGGATGGGAAATTAATGCTACTTAATTATGCTATACTCCCTTGACCTTGCTAAAAGGACATTGGCAGGAAAGAAACTGTTATTAGGCTCCCATGGAGGAAGTAATTTCTTGATCCATATCTTACTGGTTTCATGTCACTGTCCAAGAAATAGTGTTGCATCCCCTCTAGAGATGCATCCCCTCTGAAGACATGCGTGGCACGAAACGCGTAAGGAGGAGCTAATACGCCGTGGCGTCACGCCACCGGAGCCTTGTGAAGGTCCGGCGGCCATCTTAGTATATGGACGGTTAGTCCTACTTTTATCCTGGAATTATCAATGCATCTGTTTTATTGAATCTTCTTATGGAATAAATATTTAATAATACTACACTATGGGAACCTTTTGTTTGGCTTCCTTGTGGAGCTATTGATTCCTAGAGCCCACCAAAGAGGTTTATCCATCCCAGTATCCAGAGGAGGGAGTCCCTGTAAACACAGGCTGCAACACCCATCCATCCCCTAAAGGGGACCTCTGGCTGATTGGATTACCGTACAACCCAAGAGTATTTGCTGTGCTGCCCGCCACCCAGAGGGAGGATATTCCTATGCCAGGCTTACCTCGCTTCCTTAAAGAGGGCCTCTGAAGGTATATTTACATGCACATTTCCATTTCGCATCTGGTGAGTGCGTTATTTTACTACACCTTCAAGCACAAGCACTGAAGCATCGCTGCAGTTGGCAATTTAAGCACAGATTGTCACCTTATGAACTTTTATTATTTATTTTATCCTATTCATTATGCCTGCATTTTATATACTATATTTGGTCAGCCAAACAGACACTTTTATATTCTATAGCGCTGCACTTGGATTTAAACTAGACTGCTGCCAACATTCATACAAACAGGTGCTATTAAATCAGTATGTAATAATAAAAATTAGTAAAAACCTTGTTTATAAAAAAATCCATCTATCACAACATTATGTTTACCTCAAAAATTTCAAAGCCAGCTATGTCCAGGATCCCTATGAAGGATGCACCTTGTCGCTTGGTCCTATCCAGCGCTCTGTTAATGCGATGGACCAGCCAACGGAAGAGCCTTTCATAGAGCGCTTTAGCAAGTGCCTCCACAGCAAAGTCAGCCTTTACAGGGAAAAAAATGCAGACATCACTGTCAGTGTATCCATGTGTGGGGTATGTATGGTGTAGTAATGGCATATAATATAAACATGAATGTAACAAAGCTCACCTGTTCCTTAGTCTGTGCCTTCTGGACATAATCACGCCCAACTTTAATCTTCGGCATCAAGATGGCACGTGTAAACTCTGTCACATTGAGTCCCAAAAGATGACACAGTTTCTGTGCAGCTACATAAAGACATCAAAAAAATATAAACTACCAAACAATAGAAGTGTTGATGAATAGAGATTATAAAGAAGCTCTAGAGAAACAGCTCTACTAAGTTTTCTTTAGGCCCTGGGTGATCACATTGTTCATTCATGTATACAGTCAGTGAAGGTAAAGCCGCCCATACCTGGATTGAAATTCAAGCAGTTCAGAAGGGACCAGATGAATTTCAATACAGGTATGGGCAGGCTGGTTCTACAGATGTTGATCTACCGACTGACTTCTGTATAAGCACCCTGTTGGATTTTTCCTGGTTAATCAGCGCCGCAGGTTATAGCTGGCAGCACTGATCAGTGTATTCTGATGGTGGGGAAGGCTTCTCGCCATCAGAATAAAACTCAGTGGGAAGGATTCCCCCCATCCACATCGAGTGTGTGGATGGGGGAATTGGGTAATATTTCATTTTTCATTTCACCGCTAGTTAAATGAAAAAAAAAAATTACTAATGCATGGGCTGCCTAAAACTCTTGTTTCAGGTAGTGGCCAAAATGGGCGGCAAAAGATAGGCTCTATCCCTAAACTACCGCCTGCTACTACAGGACCTGAGACAACAATACAGAATACACTATTTAGATAATTTATGAATAACCTTCCTGAAGTTGGGAGAGGAGGGGGCAGAATTTCAGTGTCTCTGGTAGTAAAAGTAACCTGCAGCAAATTCTGCATTAATTGAAAGTTTAGACTGAGATGCAATGCTGTACCCTTTGGCCTTGTTTATACTTGCGTTGCTCTCTGATCCACATTTGTTCACTCTTCCGAGGGCATTTGAAAGGTGGTAAGGAGGTGTTATATTACCTTCTCACTGCTTTTTTAAGCCCATAAACCCCACACCAGTGCAGCGCAATTCCATGCATTGCACGCAGTTGCTGGACCATTGTGGCGCCCCCATTCAATTGTTGTACCGCCCTCCGAATGCAAAAGCAGGGATTATTTTTGCTGCGCCATGATTCAAAGCATCGCAGCTGTGGAATATGTTATAACCCTCCACTGTCTTTGCAGCTTAAGGGGGAGCAGATGGGGGCAGTAAAAACAAGCTTACTGAAATAGGGTACGATGCAAGGCTACAAATGAAAGCCTACCTTCTTCAAATTTGGCAACCTTAGGCAGAAGCCAAGTTATCCTTTCCACAAATCCTGGTATTAGAAGCATATTCCTTTGGTAATTTGCCAAACCTCCCATCTTTGTATATGTTTGAGTATCAATATATAAAGCATGTTGTACACCTTACTGAATTCAGCCTTAACAGACATAAGCTTTGTATCAAGAAAATAAAAGTTGAACAGCTTATTGAACATACAGACAGGCATATCAGAAGCATGAAATACATAAGAGTACCAGGTCGAGTCAGTGGGGTAGGACATGTACAATGAACATACATTTGGGGAATTTATCAAAAGTAGAGCAGCTGTGCACGGAATAAATCAGCTTCTAGCTTGTTCAGTTAAAATGGAACTAAACCCTCCTATTCTTTACAGCAAAAAGAAGCTGCCATCTTAGCCTTTGTGTGATCTCCAGTTGCCATGGTGCTGTACATCTTACTTTTGATGGTTTTACAGTTCGGTTGAGAGAACAAGCAACTGTGATAGCATGCATTGAATGTAATTGTTTTTGTGTTTAGTTCTGCTTTAAGCTTTTCAAATGAAAAGTAGAAGCAGATTTGCCATGCACAGCTGCTCCAAATCCTGGCTTCTCCAGTTTTGATAAATTCTCTTCATTGCAGCTGGAGCAAATGTAGTTCCCTGAAATGCAAAAACCTATACAATGGTAAATGAAGTACAGTACATTGATTATACAGAAAATATTGACGTCTTCTCTGCAATAGGATCTGTCTACATATGAATGTTCTAAGATCGGTGTTGGTGGATTTGGATTCTTTGTTTTGTTCAGGGAACCTTTAAGAGCACTCAGATAAGTATGACAGCCTGTATTGTTGAAATGTGATTTAATCCACTGTGACATGAATTAAAGACAATGCAGCAGGTCACAGGAGGATACCCAATACAATATCGCTACAGAATGACACACCTGTGTTATCTGGCATGGACGCCTGGTCTGTGTTCCTCTCTTTCCGAAAGACAATATTGCCAAACTGGAGAACAGCTGATACCATCTTCAGCATAGCTAGATGAAAGATATTAAAACACAATAACTAAGGGATGCTCACTACAAACACAACTGTATATATAAATAGCAGTTCACCTGTTACATATATCTATTTCAGATAAAACATTCATAGTGAGAATCATTTTACATTTCTTAACCTGTTGCCACACACGTAACACATATGTGCAAAAGGGTAGGCTTTAAAGCACACACACATATGCATCTGCAGACTGTGAGAAGCATCTGTGATGCTAGGTCTAGTGACTGACCTCCCACTTAACACCTACGATGTACACTGTATAGAGGCACCTTCTTCTGCACTGTCTGGCGTTCACTTGAAGAAGTGCTAATGTTAAAGCATAAGCATAACTAAAATAAAAAAACAGACAAATCAGCACAAGGGACTTAACTTGTATCCCTTGTGCTGATTCCTTTTCTGTTAGCAGAAATCCTCCTCCATCTAACCCCCCGCCTCACCCTCACTGTCACAATCTTGCAGTGGGTTAATATGACTAAGGGCCCATCACAGACTCTCCTCAAGAAAGCTCAACTCTTAGCCAACCCCTTAGTTGTATTAGCCCCCTGCTGCACTGGAAGATTACAGCAGCAGGGATGGGGGAGGGTGGATGGGGGGACAAGGACAGAGGAGGGATTTTTACTAACAGAGGAGGCATCAGTACAAATGACACATCCTACTGACTGTATTTTATTTCCCTTGTGCTGATTTTTCCATTTTTTATTTTAGTTACACTTAGCCTTTAAGACTGCAGGCAGCACTACATAGTCTAGTCACTGCACAATGGTTAAGTGGTTAGCACTTCCACCTGGAGCAACTAGGATAGCTGGTCCGAATTCCAGCCACAGCACTACCTGCATAAAGTATGCATGTTCTCCCTGTGCCTGTGTGGGTTTCCTACAGGGACTTCTGTTGACTCCAACACTCCAAAGACAGGCAGGTACATTACTTGGCTCCAGTCTATATTGGTCCTAGTAAATATATGTATGAATGTGTTAGGGACCTTAGACTGTAAGCTCCCTGAGGGCAGGGACTGATGTGAATGTACAATATATATGTAAACTGCCCGCGCTACATAAATACCTATAATAAATAAATCAGAGAACAAATAAAAAATAACAAAGAGTTTTAAATATAGCTACAGTTCATTAAAGTAGAACTAGAGGCAAACCTTTTTTTTTATTCCCATGTTGGATAGAGCACGGTTATAATGCCTGTCAGGATTTGTTTTGCCATTTATGTCCCATTGGGGAAATGTCTGCAAATTCCTTGGGGACCCCTAGGTTAACAGAAAGTAGTGTAGAGATTTCCCCTCTATTACTTTTTCTGGGGACAACTCAAAATGTGGGATTTTCTTTTACTTTCAATGATAATGGTAAACAGAACAGGTGTTTAATCCCTCTCCATTGTATCCAAAACTAAAAAAAAGGTTTTGCCTTTAGTTTACTTAAAGTATAAAGTATAATACTGTAAAATGACTTTAATCTATAAATAAAACATTGACATGTTAAATGTTGATAACTTCAGCAAAGTATAAGAACTGTAATAAAGCAATTACATAACACACTCATTTAAAAATCTAAAAACAACATGCAACACTACTAATCCCTGCTTATGGCCCCTTGCATACGGACATTCTGATCGGGTCCGCCTGCCCGTTTTTCAGGCAGACCCGATGGGAATCCCTATTCTCCTCTATGGAATGGTGGGTGTAAACAGACATGTGTCCATTTACACCCACCGACATCCAATTTGATCCACCAAAAGAGACAGATGGGGATCCATTCCCCTTCTGTCCATTCGATCGGATGGGATGGCAGTCTATCTGTTTCCATTCGACTGCAAATAGAGTACAGCAGGCTGTGTCTGTGTTGGCTCTGCAGCAGTGGAGCAGACACGGACCTGTCATTTGTTTGCTCCGCGGGGATCAGTGGACAGATCCCCCGCTGAGCAAGCGGATCCGCTGCCGAGTCCACCCTGTGTGAAAGAGGCCTATGTCACAGTTGTGATGTTTTCCTTTTGCCCTTGTCTTTGGAGCTTCCCACATTCTGATTTTTGGTGAAATTGTTACTGCCTGGTCCACAATGATCCTTCTTTCCTTCCTTTTTTTGACGTTTTCCAGTTATGGCTTGAATGGTTTATATCTAGTCATTTTTTTACACATATATCCTCCTTTCTTATAAACATATCTTTCCTAAATATAATATACCAGATTGTAGACATTTTCGTAGTTTGCCAATTGGGTTTATTGTATTTAGTGAAATCACAAACGGTACAATTTAAATTTTATTTTTTTGCTTATTGCTTATACATTTGCCATTCCTAATGTATTCTCACTACATACATAGCAGGCAGAAAATTATACTAACCAATTAAAATGTTATGATGTGATATGGATAACTGCCCATTACTGGTCTTTAGTCTTCATATTATGTTAATAACTAGACATTTATTTGGCAATTATAAATTAAAATATAGAAGATTCTGAGTGTTTTAATATATACTTATTATTGTGAACTATACCTAGCAGCTTATAAAATCATTCTAACCAATAAAAAAAATTGTTTCATCCTGTCTGCTGTAACTTTTGCTGATATGGCTGATATGGATAACTGTCCATCACTGGTCTTCGTATTTTGCTATCAACTAGAACTTAAATAACATTTATTTTAATGGGTTATAATAAGCAGAACATCTGATCCCCATTTTTTATCCCAGTTTTGGGAGAGTTTTATGTGGATGTTTTTCCTAAAAATCTCCTTCCCCTTTATTTTGAGATCTTGTCCAAGAATATATTCAGCAACCTCTAGTCTTCTTTTCTATAATCGTTATCTATTTCTGTGGGAACTCTTGCGATGTCTGGGGCCCATTTTTGGGGGCAAGTTCCACTTACAAAGTTCAATGGTATGTTTCTCTTTCTTTATAGGACATATAAATTTGGGGAACCAGGCATTGGTGCAATTTTTTTCTGTATAACTATAATATATTGGCATGTTTTGATCTGTCTTTTGAAATTAAAGCTCTTTGTTCGTGTTAATCGCTACATTCCTCTGAAGAACATGACTCTTATTCCAAGAAACGCAACAGGAAGAAACAACTCAATAGCTTTCTGTAGGAAAAAAGTACACCATGGGATAGATTTACTATTATTATACAGGATTTATATAGCACCAAAAGGCAAATGGACTGTGCACTTTGCAAAGTGTGGTTGCTTCAGAGTAAATGAGGTAAAGCTTCACTTTGCAAAGAATACCCAATCCCATGCAAGGAAAAAAAACAGCATTTTTGCTTGCACATGAGTGGATGATGGAAGTCAGCAGAGCTTCTGGAGCAACTACATTTGCAGAGTCCAACTGCTATTTGGAAAGTGCACAGTCTATTTTCCTTTAGTAAATCAACCCCTTTACATATAGGCTGAGGTCTAAATGACTCTTATAAACATACTATGTGATTGATTTGCTAGCGGCAAATAGGCTGTTCACTTTGCAAGAGAATTTTTCCTTTGCTTAGTGAAGTAAGAGAAGCTTTGCTGACATTATCCAATCACAAGCAAGCAAAATACTTTTTTTTTTCCTTGCATGTGGTTGGATATGCTTTGAAATGATTTTTTTTCCACATTTACTAAGCTAAAGGAAAATTTCCTTGAAAGTCAACACATTAATTACTTTTAGTAAATCAACTCTTATATGTATATTTTTTTTCAAGATATACAAATGCAATGAACTGACCTCTAGAAACGAATAGTGATGATTTTGCCTTTTACGTATGAATGTTTTTAATGTCTTTGAATGTATATCTATAAATATGTTGTTAGATTTTATTAGGAAAAAGCCATAAAAGACTTTATTGTGAAAACCATGTAGATACCTATAAAGTCTAATTTACTTTAGTTAGGAAACACACAATCTCTACTAGAAACTTTAATGACAGTTCTAAAATGCAAGCTCCATGCACACTAGTGTTTTTTAGAAGCTCAAAAAAAAACGCTAAATAAAAAGCCGCTGGATGAAAACCGCTGACAATAGCATTTTTGTGCTATCTTGTATTAGTGTTTAGCAGCGTTTAGGAGCATTAGCATTTTATTAGTGTTTTTACAGTACATGAAGAAAAAAAAAAAGCTGTTAGTAGCTTTTTAATAGCATTTAGGAGAGTTCAGCTTTTTTCTGCTGGAAAAACTCAACAAAAAAACTCTACAAAAATGTTTTTTCTACTCCTAGAAACTGAAGCTGAAAAAACGCTAATAGCCTAAAGTGGTGTACATGGCCACATAAGATAACACTAGCTTCTAAGAGCAGAAAAAAATGCTACTAACAACTTCTAGGAGCTTAAAAAACCGCAAGTGCGCATACAGCCACAAAGTAAGAAATTGCAATATTTATAATACACACATATTACTGTGAAATGTATTTTTTTTGTAAGCTCTAATTAATGCATGTCCCTGTATTGCAAAGTTCCTTTACATGACAGCAGCAGACTTTTCTGCCAGATTCATAATCAAGTGCACATTCTCTCCCTCCAAGTACCCAATAATGGCATATTTCCAATACCTAACACTGAACAACATTCCATTGTCATCAAAATGGGGACAACCTGTTACTTACACATGATTTCTTCATGAGTAATTCCCATGATTTTCATGGACTCCATTGTCTCGTGGAAGATCTCTTTGTCCTGCTGTCCGGGAATGGTAACGTTTCCATTGGATAAAAAGCGATACTGGTTGAAGCCCTCCAAAAGTAAGTCAGCTAGAAGAGAAAAAAAAAAAAGAACACCATGTCATCTGCAACAATAAACCCAAAGGAATAAAAAATAAAAATATTACAAAAAAAATTGTTATTTCTTTATGACATAAGGATCAAAAGCAGAGGAGAATGTTTTGACATTAGAAAATATTTTTGCTGCTCATTCATATGAGAGGACTATAGTATCACTATCTCCACAGGTACGTCAACCACTGGTTTTACATTTCTGGAACTGTTTTTATAAGGGAGGGTGACTATAAGCCATTGAGGGCATGGCATTAAAGTGAAAGTATTTCTTTAACCTGCATGTTCTAGAAACTGTTGTTTTGTGTTTTCAAACCTAACAGAATGACAAGTATTGGTGCTTACTGCCCACCACAGTGCTTCCAAAAGTAGAACTAAACCCTCCTATCCTTTATAGCCAAGAAGCTGCCACCTTAGCCAATGTTTGCTCTGCAGTTGCCACAGTGCTGCACGTATGATCAGCTATGACACCAGCCATTTGACAGCTGGACAGTTCAGTTAAGAACACAAGCAACTGTGACAGTTATCACGCAATGTATACCTTTAATGTACTTGTTTGTTTTGGGAAATTGATAGGTTTGTGGGCCGGTTCACACTATAGAAACGCAGTCCAGATGTGTTCTGGATGCGTTTCTGCAGGCGCATTTTGTATGCATTTTCGGCGCATTACGGAGTGCTTTTGACGCATTCCAGTGCATATTTGATGCTTTCCGGTTCAGTTTTCCCCTCTCTTTTTCTTCAATTTAAACATGCGTTCCAGTGCATTTTTGTTCTATTTTGGTGCATTCCTGTGCGTTTTACCGTGTTTCAGTACAGTTCTGTGCAGGAAAAATGCAGCCTGTTCTACTTTTTTTTTCTGAATCCAGAACGCACTGGAAGTGCAAGCTCTGATGTGCACTATGATATTGAAAACCAAATAATCTACTTTCTGTCCATTTTGGACGCAGAAAAAAAGCACACTGAAACGCATGTAGTGTGAACTGGCCCTGAGCACTTTTCTTTTAATTTTACAGTGTTTAATGTGCATTGGTACTTTAAACACTCCATATGAACAAAAAGTGCAAAAATCATTACTATACCCTCTCCTCTCTGTTTGTCTTGTTTTATTTAACATGTCAAAACGAAACAGGAAATGGAAATATAAAAAGAAAAGAAGACGTAAATGGCAATAAAAGTACTCCAAAATGCCAAACTATACATTTGCTCTGGTCAGATCTTACGCACAGGACTCCATCCAAAGAGTAAGTAACATTTTAAATACATCTAAAGCCTGAGGAACATCACAGAACAAGAAAGTGATACACTTAACATAATCACATCTCTGTATTCCAGATAGCACACAATATACTGTAAATATACATGGCTGAAGTCTCTGGAATGTCCATGTAAAATATAACAGCTTACATTTCACATGCTCCCCTGCTCCTGCTAAAAGCTGGTAAAAAACATGGAATGTCCTTTCATCCTTGGCTTGGCGAATTGCTCGGGATTTCTCCAGTAAATCTGAAGAAGGCAGTTAAGGGGGTGCCAGGAAAACGTAATGGTAACATTGTAATTAAATAAGGGCTATGTAATAATAGGTTTTTCAAAGGTGTTCTCATGTTTTTGATTTTGGGTGAAGGTTAAAGTTGATTCGTCTTTGTTCACCAACTGTCAGTTTTTGTGGATCATAATACATCATTACTCTTCCCGCTAAGAAAGCTTTTAGCTGGAAGCAAACATTTATATGTTTAGCACTTTGTACTGCTACTAAAAGGTGTATCATGGTCTTCAAAATAGCCAAAAAATATTGAGCAGTGATTGGATTGTACATGCAGCCAGCTGGAACATTGATTTTTGCTTAGACGTACATGTTTGTGTGCATGCCTATCCATACTCTGCATGTTTAGAGTTTCCTTATGCCAGGAAAATCTCAGGGATCGGTATGGATAAAAAATCCACTCATCAGACTTATGCCTAATGGTATACCTACTCACAGTCACTAAACATCTTTACACTGTGCAATAAATAAAAATCACAGAAAGAAAGGGGGGGGGGGGGGGCTCAGGCCACTTACTAAATGTTCAGATAACTCCCCTTAATGACATTGTACACTTTCATATGTTTTGCTGATATAACTAGGAAATAGTGTGATTATATTTCGACTGTGTTGCTTGCTTGCCTTACGTTATAATGATGGACTCACATGTTGTGGCTGCAATTTGTAGTGCCATGGCTGATCTATTCCCCTGTGTCCATGTATTCATTCACCTAGCTGGTCCCTATTCGCTAAAGGGACAAGTAACACCTTGTTCTGGGTTGCACAGTGTCCATTCCATGTCTTGCCATTTCTCTGTGTTGCATCACAAATGTTGGAGTGCTAATGTGATGACAAACATATCTCTTACCTTCATTGTACTGCCTACTTATGTCTGTTTCATATCTAATTACTGCACCTCCATCAGGGTTAGACTGAGAGACCCAGGGATTGTGGGATATGGACTTGGTTGAGAGTTTCTCAAGACTACATATAAATGCAAGCAGTTTAAGTATATGAATTTGACTTGATATCTGCCACTTGTCCCCTGTACAGCACAGCTCAGACTGTGAGAGGGTGGGACAGCACAAAGAGACATTTAATTGCATTACAGTGCTCATGTGCTACCAAGAAATATGCTAAGTGGGAGGAGAGGGCAGAGAGATGAGCTCATCAGTCCACTGTTACTCCTTTTTATGGACTGAGGGAGGGACAAGACCTGTAAGGGCTCATTCGCATCAGCCCACACACTAAAACAGTCCGTTGTGTACCAGCAGTAAAGGGCGGTGCTTTGCAGAGTTACAAATGCAGGCACTGGTTATCTTTTTTTAACTTTATTAAAATGTCACAAAACAACTTTTTATTCATCTTTATGCACCCCAACTATGTGGAAAAATTCAGAATGTCTGCATTTTACTTACAACAGCCCAATTCAAGGCGGTGTTGTAGTGTGAACAGGGAAATTAAAAAACAGCTGCTTTGTTTGCAAGTGCCCTGGCGTTGAATCTGCATTGATCTGAGCAAAACAACACAGCTCAATTGATGTGATGTGAAAGAGCCCCAAATGTTACTTAACCGCAGAAAAATTAAGTCTCCTGTGCTCTATGGCAGAGTGGTGCAAATCCCAGGACTGGATGGCCAGAAATAAAAGATTTTTGGCATGTAAAACAGCCCCATATATAGCATGTGTTTTATCTGTGTATTTAGTTGATTGCCTGGGGTTCAGCTCTAATGTTGTAGTAATAAACAATTTATAAAAATATAAAAACTTCACCAACATTACCAAATAAACAGGAATAACTAAATATAGCACATCTTTCCGATTCAGTGAAGAAAAGAAATTTGGTTTCTGCATTTTCAATAAAAGGGATAAAACCAGGGCCGGCAAATAAATGACATGGCTGTTTATCCCAAATAACAGACGTGCCATTTACTGGAGTAAAGAGCAGTTACTGATGTATACATAGCACTAGGAGGGCAGTAGTAAAGCAGTACATGCAGGCTGAAAGGATACAGGTTTCAATGTTGGCTCCAACGATGTATCCAGCGACATCAAAATTTATTCGGATAAATTTGCCCTAGAAAATTTCAATTAAAATATAAATCATAATGTAATGAAAGAAATAAACAAGCCTGCACAAGCTCTAAACACAGATTATATCTTCTTGTTCCGCTTAGGAGACTTAAATTAACTGGAATCTATTAAAAAAACTGAAGGAAAAAAAAAACAAAAAACAATGGTGTTGTTACACCGAGGCTTTCATTCATTTTCCACCCTTCTATTACAAAGACAAAACGACAGTTGGAACATACCGGTAATTAATTGGTTTGGCAAACTTCAGCTTATCTTTGCTCCAAATTTTATTAACAAGATCAACCATGTGAGTGAGAGAATTATTTCACTTAGAATCTACTGATATTGAAGAAGTAATGTTTGGTGAGAAGATATTTAGTGAATTGTGCACAAAGTATTACAAAAAGTCAGAAAACTGTGTCAATATCCGCTACCACTAAGGGGAGTAAGGACTTTCATCCACACCACAGATCATTTACACCAATTACATTACACTAAAGTTGTAAAGCTACAGAAAAACAATGGTGTATATATTCATTTCTTATTATTCAGGAATTATTGTACTGGCAAGATGATACACAGACCCAGGCTGGATATTTATTGATAAAACTACAGCAGTGGTCTCCAAACTGCGGTCTATGGGTTGGATGTGGCCCTTTGTTTGTCTTTATCCAGCCCTTGCGGCATTATTCCTCCCACTGACACTACCAAAGGGGCACTATAACTCCCACTGACTCCACCAATTATTTCTTTCAATGACACCGACAATGGGACACTATTTCTCCCACTGACACCAACAATGGAATACTATTCCTTCCAATGACACCAACAATGGGACACTATTGCTTCCAATGAGACCAACAATGGGACACTATTTCTCCCACTGACACCAACAATGTGGCCTTATTCCTCCTATTGAAACCAATGATGAGGCACTAATTCTCCCACTGCCACAAACAATGGGGCATTATTCCTTCCACTGATACCAATGATACGGTACTATTCTTCCTCCTACAGACCATAATTGGTACATAATTTTTTAACTCCCACTTACCACCAAGCCTGAGACATTGTTTACTCCCACTGACGCAGGGGCATTTTCTACTCCCAATGGCCACCGTCCAGCCCCTCTGAAGTTTGAGGGACAGTAAATTGGCCCTTTGTTTAGAAAGTTTAGAGATACCTGTACTAGAAGGGCTAGTGTGCATACCAATGTTCAGTAACAACATATAACATTTTATTTACTCTGATTGGGCTTTTAATATGGTTATTTTTGCTTTACCCATATGTCCTATTTATACCATTTTTCTATTTCAGGTTTAAAAATAAAAAGCATATAATTTGTTTAAAGCTGGAAAAAACTGCAGTTAAAAGGTTGACTGCTTGGGGGATAACATGATGGGGTATATTAATAAATGTTTTCAGGCAAGATTCACAAAACGTTCACCCAAAATGTACACCATTTTTCATATGACATTCAATTACAAAAAAATGTGCAACTATTGGGTGAAAGTTGTTTGATTCCTGGGTGAAAACATTGATAAACTGACTACTATAATCCTCAAAGTATATTTAAAAACAAAACTTTTTTTGTTGTCTATGTCCCATTGGGGAATTTCCCTTCATAGGTCCTAGAGATATAAGAGGAAGTAAAGAAAATATGTGCAAAGTGGAAGTACCCTCTTAGACAGTTGGCTCTAGATAGATGTCCATATTAGAAGATTTTATCCCATCTAATCTGGTAACAAATGTAAAATATTGGAATTCCCAGCACCTTCTATCCCAATGACAATGGTCAGCAGGTTAAATAGAGAGGATCAATTTCCCCAACAAGAACATGGACAGCAATAAACACACACAAAAACACACCCTTCTCTACCAAAAATGAAAGCTTGTTTTGAATATACATTTTTCTTCTTAAGATAAAATTCTTAAAAATGAAAACATAATACAAGCACAAGGGGTGTCTTCTTACAAATCGTGAAGAGTTGTCATTTTTCACAGTCTTGGCATTTCCAAAAGCTTCCAAAATAGGGTTGGCTTGCAGGAGCTGATGTTCTAGCTCTCCCTGAAAATAAACAAATACAGCCAATATAATATTTTAATGTACTTTAAGAGTAGATAATTTATAAACAAAAGTCAAAGAGCAATAAAGTGCAAAAAAAAAAAAAGAAAAAAAAGGAATAAAAAAGAAAACTGTAACATCACATGCTCTTAGTAGCCAAGAAAAGCTCCGTGACCATATAAACAGAAAAGATATTCCTGCAGTAAAGTGGGCTTACCTTTGTCATTTGCGTTTGTGCAATACAGAAACAGACATGCAACAGCAACTCAATTTTTTTGCTTACTTTGTATGCGCATAAGTTACAGAGAATAGGCTTAAAGTGAAGGTGTAGCTTTGTATCAAAAACCTTGTACTTGTTACAACCTCCCATAATCTATTATAACCAAAATCAGACCTCAAATACTGGGCAGTCCCACTTTACATTGCCTAGCTTTACATTTAATTTTCCATCAGAGGCTGTGCTCCAGTTCATAGACACAACTACAAGCGCAATAGAAATGAAAGAGATAGCTGAGTTGGACTTGACCATTTATCTACAGGGGCCTGTGTCAATGGGCTTTGGCTTGTGTCAATGACATCAATCTGACATTTTCAGCTGCTTCTGAGAGCAATGACAGGTGCATTTGACATGCTGTTGACTTGCTCCAAGCGGATTTTGCATTTTTATAGACTGCTATGGGAATGCAACACTGCCTGAAGCAAGGAAAAACTCATCAACATAGACCCTTAAGCTTGAGGTTTCACCTATGCACTGTAGTACAGGTGTCTGGAAAAAATTGAATATGATCATTGCCCTGCACAGTGGAGACACAGGTAGTGTAATATGGGGCCCCACTGCATCTGATGTATGATTGTGGATACAGTAGATCAGCAAATTGGTCAAGAGGTAAAGCAAGTTTAGTACAAAGGTACACGTTTTGAAAAACAAAAAGCAATTGTAAGTGCCAAGATGACTGTTAGGAACATCAACAATATAATGAAGTCATTGGGCTTTTGGAAGATGGTAACATCGATGGTGATGTTGGGTGGCTTGAGCTATAATGGCAAATTGCCAAGTACAATTGTGGGGTACAGTCAACTATTTCAGAATACAGTATATTGTCTCCCTGTATTGATAGTATGGCGTATAACGAAAGACAACCATGCATTTTATCTCCCCCATTCATATTAAAGCACTTAAATATTATTAGTGAACATGTTAGTGTCACGTGACGTATTCCATGTTATACTGCCACACCCTTTCCATTTGGAACTGGGCTCCTATAAGTCAGCAGACCCTTTTAGTTTGCCAATCTAATTATAGTCATTTTTATTGTGAATGTTCCTCAACTTTATCTAGAATACAATATGTACCTAATTTGCTGTATTCTGCATTGAACTAGACATTTTGTATCTTCTCTGTTATTTTTCTACTTTCTTTTTCTGGTGAAACCCATTGATGACAGGTCTGCCAATACACTGAATCACCACCTGGCACTGGCTGAACCTCAGCACAGAATCTATAGAAGGGGCAGTAGCATCAACCATTAGTACCTTTGTAGTTGGCTTAAATACTGGGATGCTACAAGATACTGTACAAGAGTACAAAACAAACAGTGGGCAATGGTATGAAAAGGGAGTAATAGTCATTAAATAGTGACCAATCCTATGGAGCGTAGGGGCTAGTCACTAAGAACCAGGAACTGTGTGTGTGTATATATATATATATATATATATATATATATATATATATATATATATATCCTATATTGTAAGCTCTAACGAGTAGGGCCCTCTGTTTCCTCGTGTACCAAATTGTATTGTATTTGTAATGTCTACTTTCATTTTGTAAAGTGCTGCGCAAACTGTTGGCGCTATATAAATCCTGTATAATAATATATATATATATATATATATATATATATATAGTTACCGTATACAAAAATATAAACAAATGTAACAATGAAATAAAATAAAACAAAATGGGTTACTCACATATGACATGGTACTGGAGTTCTGGGTCAAAACACAAACAGTACGTAAAAAAAAGAAACATAGATAACACAAATGTTAATGACAGAAAAAAAAGAAATGGAAATAATAAGCAATTAATGAAATGAATAATGTCAATAAAATAAAAATAAAAAAACAAATAATAATGCTTTTTGAGGAAATGAAAAAACACCAAAACAGAAAACTGATGAGTAAACAGTAAGTTACAAATAAAAATAGACAGATGGTGGTTGTACCATTGATTGGCTGTTTTATAAAATGATGAAGGGACTAGCACAAATATGTATGATTGTGTCACCCAGGTGTACATGCTTATCCCCTAAGTATACACTTCAACTCTGAACGCCTTATGAATTAGCTAAGAAAGTGCAACCTAGCCAATCAATTCCTAACAAAAGATCAGTCATCTAGGTAGTGTCTGCAGACACCAGCTGACCCAACACACAAGCATGCATGTTTCTTATCAGAATCAATTGGTACCACAGTTATATTGAAGGGATCCTAGTATGTTGGTTAAACAAAGTGAACTGATAGACGTTTCTGATAAGATCTGTTGCACCCTATAGTGTTTCCTATTTAAGGGTTCCTTACAGTTGTAGACTCACCAGATACACGTTCCTTTCCTTCACTCACCTGTCACTCCATTCAGCTTGGGGGAGAAGAAAGACTGCCATGTGTAGGCTTTGAGTTGCTCCAGTCAGAACTTAGAAATCGCATGCTACATTCACATTTCAGCCCATATTTGTAGGTACCTGGTACTTTCTTTATACCCAGTAACTAAATGAAGTATCAAGAGAGAAAAGTATGCTCTACTGGTATGTCCTACTGGGTAGGGGAAAAGGGGGCATTATTGTAAACCTGTTGTTTTGCACTGCATTGGCAATGCAAAGGATTGCTAAACAAATGGTCAATCGATTCCCAAAATTCCAGCTCTGCACCTCCACCTTGCCTATCGCAGCAGCATTGAAACAAAGTCTTAAAGTGTAAACCCAAAAAATATAAATTTAGATAATCACATTCCATAATCTGCACAGCAGGACAATGCATACACACCCAGTCTGCCTGGAAAAGCACCCGATACTCTTCTGCTATTTTCTAGTTTGTCCCTCATTGAACAAAACCGTCACAGGCTATAAAAATACCATGCTCCCTTTCCTTTGATTGACAACCTACATAATACTTCTCATGCACTAGCACAAGAAGGGGAGGAAGTCAGGTTGCGCAGATCTAGGTGTCTGATTGGACAGGATTTGTCAGGGGGCGTAGGCACCACTTCCACAGTGTGCACCACTATGTCGGGGATGAGGGCATGTAGAGCAGAGAGGGGATTCTGCTGACATCACTACTACACCACCCAAGCTCCGGACTGACGCCATTCCCACAGAGAGGAACAACTTTGGAGGGCTACATCTCAAAAATGGAGTAACAGAAAAATTTTACAAAGAGGCGATCAGACACAGAGCACTCAAAGGTATTTATGGATGACAGTATTCAGCATTTGACCAACATTGGGTTTACAACCACTTTAATTAGTCATTTTGAGTCACAGACTGTGTGACCATCATCTGAATGTGTTGAACGGAGAGGTATCAGGTTGGGGGCAACTAACATGTTGCTCTAAATAGCAACCACATTTACTCTTATTCTGACACGTGATCTGAGAACAGCAGAACCTCAGTTTAAAACTCATGCCTCATGCAACTAAATATACTGCATTTAGGAAAGCTGATCTATGCAGAGGTCCTAATGCTTGCTAATGCATGCATGCACACATTTAATTTCCTTTATCATTGTCAGTATTTAATGTACAGAAAGCTGAATCCAAAGTTGTACTAGAAAAGTAATAAATCTATATAGTATTGCTTTTCTTGCACCTGCTTCCATATGTCACTAAAAATAGCTAATGTCATTGCAATTACACCTCGCTCTCTAGTAGTTAAGAGGTAATATGTAACACAAACTGTGTCTGTCACTAATAATAATGGCAATAACCATTCAAATGGACGTGTAGCTAACCCCCAGGCTATAATTCTTTATAGGAATTACATGTGTCAGCAATGCCTTGTACGTAAAATAAAAGTCCCGCCAAACATTATACTGCATCAGTAGGTGGAATATGATGGGCTGAATCACCTACTAAGTTCTTCACATATCTTATATAAGGTTTGAATATTAAGCCCAACCTTTCTCAACCGTTTTAATATGGAGGAACCCTTGAAATAAGTTTCTGGGCTCATGGAACCCCCACTAATAACTATTATATCTACAGCTCACAGTACATTAGTGTGCTGGTCACTGGGAAGAATGCTCCTTACATTTGTAACGTATAGATAGCTGAAGAGATCATTGCTGTCTTTTGTTGCTCATCTGAGAGGAAAAGGTTGCATATGGAACCCCTAGAAAGCCCTGGTTGAAAAGTCTAATTTAGTCCAACTCCTGCCAGAGGTAGATAAGAGTCATAAGAGGAAAGATAACGGGGGTAAGTCAAAACTTCTGTCAAGTTTTTATTGCTGTGTTGGGGAGGGGGAGGTACAGTCATGGTAAAAAATATCGGCACCCCTGCATTCAGATAATGCAGAACTTTGCCCAGAAAATTGTTGCAGTTACAAATGTTTAGGCATTCTCATGTTTATTTATTTTGTTTATATTGGTACAACATAAAAAAGTGGGGAAACAAAAAGCCAAATCTCACACATTCCACACAAAACCCAAAATATGGACTGGATAAAATTATTGGCACCCTCAATTTAATATTTGGTAGCACGCCCCTTGTAGCCATCAATGAGTTTCTTACACCTCTCTACTGGAATTTTGGACCACCCTTCTTTCGCCAACTGCTCCAGGTCTCTCAGATTGGAAGGTTTCCTTTTCTCAACTGCTGTTTTGAGATCCAGCCACAGGTGCTATGTGGGATTGAGATCTGGACTCATTGCTTGGCCAGTTCAGTACTCTCCAGCGCTTTGTCGTAAACCATTTCCCGGGTGCTTTTTGACATGTGTTTTGTGTCATTGTCCTGGTGTAAAAACCATGACCTCTGACGGAGACCCAACTCAAGACATCCAGTGTCTGAAGCAGCAAAACAAACCCAAAACATCAGTGAACCTCCACCATGTTAGACTGTAAGGACTGTATTTTTTTCTTTAAAGGCCTCATTGCTTTTTCTGAAAACAGTAGAATGTGATTTACCAAAAAGCTGTAATTTTCTTTCGTCTGTCCACAGCACATTCTCCCAAAAGGATTTTGGCTTCCTCAGGTAAGTTTTGGTAAACTCCAATCTGGACAGCTTGAATTTGTCTGGAAGTTGATCGAGGTCCTTTTTCCACCATTCAAACAATCCTTCATTGCAATTTTTGATCAATTTTTCTCTTTCGTCCATGTCCCAGGGAGATTAGCGACAGTGTCATGGGCTGTAAACTTCTTGACAATGTTGTGCACAGTGGACACAGGAATATTAAGATCTCTGGAGATGGACTTGTAACCTTCAGATTGTCCATGTTTTTCCACAATTTGTGTTCTCAAATCCTCAGACAATTCTTTGCTGCTCTTTCTCTTTTGCATGCTGCATGTGGCACGCAGAGACATACAACAGAAAGGTTGAGTCAATTTTCACCATTTGAACTGGTTGCCTGTGTGATTTCTATATTGTCAGTACCTGTTAATTGATACAGGTGAGTTTAATTAAAAATTACAGGAGCATAACAATCTTGGAATGCAATTATTTCTTACAATTTTGAGAAGGTGTCAGAAATTTTGTCCAGTCCATTTTTGGTGTTTTGCATGGAATGTGTCATATTTGGCTTTTTCTTCTCCACTTTTTGTGTCACACCAATATAAACAAAAGAAATAAACACGAGAATGTCTAAACATTTGTAATTGCAACAATTTTCTGGGCAACGTGGTGCATTATCTGACAGAAATGCAGGGGTGCCAGTATTTTTGGCTATGATTCTAGTTCCTTACTGCCTATCCCAGTGACACAGGACAAGAAATGAGAAGGTGCTGGTGTGACAGGAAGACATAGAAAGCAACTCCTTCCCACTATACTAATTAAATGTGCCTTTGTTGCTGTCTGTGTACTCAAAAGAGAGATATCCTATCACTTACTGTTGTTGGGACAGACTTGCCAAGCCCTACGAAAATAAAGATTTCCAGAAAGTCAATATCCTCCAAGGATTTTCATGGGCTCCAGTGACCAAACAGACGATAGGCAGTGCTATGTTGTAGCAAATCATCTATGCTGTAAAATGTCTTTAAAAATCAAGGTCTTTGAAAAACTAAGCTAAATCACAGATGTGGTTTTCTATGCTTTGAACTGGCCATACATTGTGCAAATTTCAGCCATTTTTTGATCAACTCCCTGCTGGCCGTGGTGACTGACTTTTGTCAAAGGCAGCCGTAGGATTTTGAAGCCGTAGTTTGAGTACTCTGTCAGTTGTGACTGTTGGCTGTCAGAATGAAAGAAATCTAATAGTGTATGGCCATAGCTATACAATAGGCACACAAAGTTTGTTAACTGCTCTGTTTGAGAAGGATTTTCTCATGTGAACAGTGCCCAAATAGAAAAAAAGTATAAAGCAGGAAAAGCCTACAAAAGCCATTCTAAAGGTCTGGATATTCATCAATCCACAATAAGACATAGTCAACAAATGGAGGAAATACAACACTGTTAGGAAACAGTACTTAGCAAAGGTCACAGCGAGAGTGCAATGCACAATGTTAAAAGAGCAGATGAAGAACCCCATGGTAACAGCAAAGTACATGCAAAAATTTCTCCAACTTGCTAAAATCTCTATGTATTCACTATAGGAAAATCACTGAACGTGAATGGTGTTCATAGAGAAGCACCAGAGAAGAAATCACTGCTCTCCAAAAGACATTGCTGCATGTTAAAGCTCAGATCACCTGGATGTTCCACAAATGCTATGTTAACAGGAAAAAATATAGCCTATGAACACCTAAAGTTCATCCCAACTGTGAAACATAGTGGATGGAGCAGCCTGCTTTGCTGCCCCAGGGTCTGCATGGCTATCTTTTGCAGAGGTAACAATTCAGTAAAGAATTGTATTGAGAAATTGTAGAGAAGAATGTCACAGCAGGGGCCCATCACCTAAATCAAACACAATGACCAAAAACACAGGAGTAAGTCAGCTGCAAAAGTAAGACATTCAGGAACCAATTATACAGAAACCCATAATACCATAGGGTTTACCAGTTCTATTTTGTAGCTAGTCACCGCAACTAATGTAGTCTATCTAGCTTTTTAGTTAAGTTCCATGAATGCAAACATAATTCAACAGATTTCAAAGGAGCTGCTGGAAAAACATGGTCCACATATTTAACATAATGATAGAATGTTCATTTCTAGATAGCATATTAAAACCCATGTTTAGTCAGTACACTACTCCTAAAAATAAGGATGCTGTCTATTGCACTCTTATGATTCATCACAGTTTACCGTGTATAAAAAATTGTGACTCATAAATATTTCTGACCGCTCAAAGCCATCTTGGCATACAGTCTAGATCCAATATGCAGTGGATCCTGTTAAGGGCCTGTGTTGAAAGACTATGGGCTTGTGCCGATGCAGGGGCGGACTGACCATTTGGAAACTCGGGCACTGCCCGAGGGCCCAGGGTCAGTAGGGGGCCCCATGAGATGCCCCTGGTACCTTTTTCATAGGCTTTTTTGAGTTTGGGCAAGGACACAGGGGCCCCATGATCCCCTATTGCCCGGGGGCCTCATGAGTTGTCAGTCCGCCCCTGTGCCGATGTCATCAGTTTGAAATGGTTCTGAGATCCTTCAGAATTCATTGACAGGTACATTTGACCTCCTTCTGACCTGCGTTGAGCAGATTGTGCTTTTCCATAGACTTGTATGGAAAATCTGAAGTCCTAAATGGAAACTGATAATTATTAACTACTAGGCAAAACAAATTGTTCATTTGTTTCATATTTTTCTCAAGGAATCCAAGAGAAAAATTTCTGCAACTAAACTATCAACTGTGCCTAACCACAGCCACCATTGTGAAACAATCTGACCCTGATTACTTGAATTTCTGTTTATTTTCCATTTTGGAAAACATATGAACTCTGTGGGAAAACTTCCCAGTGCAGTCTCTGAGAGATCTAAGAAGTTGAGACCTCATTGGTTTTGGAGGAATTAGTCTTCCAGAGACAGTTCATCTTTGAAATGATCACATGACATTTACTATAAATGTGTGGGACTACTGTGCTAGTAGCATGCATTAAAAAACCCATGCAGGATGCACACAAAGTCAACTTGCCTGGTGTTTAATAGATTTGAAAGATTCCATCTGATATTAGTAAGTGCACAAAATAATCAAGAAAGATAGTTAGTGATCAGAAACGACAGGGTTCTCCGCTGGCAGAGAAGCCAGTATTGCACTGCAGCCGAATATGCTGCTCCCAACACTTGGGCCTCTCCTAACTACAAGAGTGCTGCTTCTGTGCCTACTCAAGAGACAGACATTGTAGTGTTTCCATTACAAATCTCATGCAACATGTGTGATCCCACTGTAATACGTGCAGACATTGTAAAAAAGTATAATTACTGTTTACACCTCAGATGTTTTCATTTTTTTCTGTCTGCAGTTCCAGTGGCGGGACTGTTCCCAGGGAAAACTGGATTCTATGGCTGGTATACCTTTTACTGAATCAACATAAAGATCATACATTTATTCCAGTTAAATGATGTCACAATGAATGGTGTGATATTGTTACTATTTTCAAAATGTTAATAACACTTAAGGTATCCACCTTTTTTACCCATGATTCACAAAACGTTCACCCAGTATTATGCAACATTTTAAATTCAGTCAAGGGTGGTGTATGAATCTTGGGTTAATGTGTGTGAATGTTGGGTGAACACATTGATCAAGAGACCGCCCTCAGGCCAGGTTCACCTATGCACGGCTGTGCGGGCCACAATTTGCGCGGGCACAAGAGCCCATCCCTTTGAATGGACTCCCATGCCCCAGGACACAGAGGTTAGAAGTTCCCAGTACGGTTGCGATTTCCAGTGCGGGTGGCGTGCCATTAGAATGAATGGTACCCGCCTGCGGGTCCAGCATTCCTCTGTGTGGGTGGTGCGGCTGCAGGTATTTGTGTGGGTCCCGCAGCGGCAACACCCGCACAGATGTGAACCAAGCCTTAGAGTGTCAGCCCACCTGTTGAAAAGACAGATCACCCACATCTAAATTATATCCTAAAAGTTGGGCCCAGCTGTTGCAGCAAAATATCATTCTTCCTCTATGATTATACATATCTTTATTTACAGCTGTGAAAAAAGTTTGAATACCCTTGGAGAATTGGAAATATACAGTCTGTACCATTTTAAAGAAAACACGGTTGAACAGGCAAAACTAAACTAGTTTCTTTTATTTCTTATGGGATTCATATTCAACTATTGGTCATAACAGAATAACCTAATCAGAAAACAAAACATGGCAACAAGTAAACAAATTAAATGGCCCCTGTTCAAAAGTCTGCATGCTTCACAGTGGAATTGGTATTCTTGTCGCTTGTTGACCTCCTCCAAACATGGAGCTTACAATAGTGACCATGAAGCTCTATTTTGGTCCTGTCACTCCACATTACAGTGTGCCAGAAGCTGTGAGGTGTGTCAAGGTGTTGTTGGGCGTTGGTGTTTTCTGTGGCATTGATACAGTAAAGACTTCTTTCTAGCAAATCTACCATGCAGTTCATTTTTATGTAGCCTGTATTTCTCCCGAGATTACCTGTGGGTTTTTCTTTGTATCCCTAACAATTCTTCTGGCAGTTGTGGCTGCAATCATTCTTAGCCTACCTGATCTTGCCTTGGTATCGAGAGATTCCTGAATTATCCGCTTCTTAATAAGTGATTGAACAGTACAGTATTGACTGGAATATTGAAGGCATTGGATATCTTTTTATATCCTTTTCCATCTTTATAAAGTTTCATTACCTTGTTATGCAGGAATTTTGACAGTTTTTTTCTGTTCCTCATGGCTCAGTATCTAACCTGCACAATGCATCCATGTGAGAGCTAACAAACTCATTGACTATTTCTACACAGACACCAATTATACTTTAAAAAGCCACAGATGTAAGAAATAAATCCAGGGTATGTACATGCTTGAGCAGGGCCATTTGGGTGATTTCTGTTATCATTATGATTTAAAAAGGATCCAAACAACTATGTAATAATAAAAGGCTTCATATGATTCTTATCCCTAAATAAAAGACAGTTTTTTTGCCCGATCAGTCATATTTTCAATATAAATGCCAAAATATCATGATTTCTACCAGGATATGCAAACATTTGAGCACAAATATATATATATATATATATATATATATATATATATGTATAAATATATATAATGTATTGATATATCAAATATTGAAACAGGTGTAAAACACCAATACTCCAATATTCCAAGGCACAAAAGAAACCAGTGGGTGATTCAGCTCTCCATAACCTACCCAATTTCTAGTTTTAGGTGGACTAATACTTTAAATGGGATCTTCATTAAATTATATATCTAACCATAGAAATAAAGAAAGAAGTGCAGACCAAAACTGGATAAAAGAGTCCAAGATAATTGTAATTGGCACAAAAAGTAACATAAAATCAGCCAACACATTTTGGGAGCATCACCACTCTCCTTGTTCAAGGCTCAAAACAGGATAAAACTTGGATGGACTCAGCAGAAACAGTGACTTCACAGGTCTACCTTAGAACCAGTACTGAATTCCCCAGATGGAGTGACAACTTGACAGCAGTTGCTGAGCAGCAATGGAGGCTTGTTGGCTATTTTCATGACTTATTTTCTTACCAACAATTAAAATTATCTTGGACTCTATCATCTGATTTTGGCCTGCCACTCCTTTCTGTATTTCTACGGCTTGAGCCACTGTTGGTTTCCCATAGAGGGAAGCTTTGAGGTGTGGGAGACACCTCACCAGAGCTATTGGTCTAGTTTGAAGTTTCCGTTATCTGCTTACAAATGTGGAGTTTTTTTTTTTTATGTCTGTGACCCCATTGAGGATCTTTTCCTTAACATTCTGTTTTTGTAACAAGAAAAACGGAGCAGCTCTCACAAGCCCAGGAAGGCAAAAACAGAGTTCTAACCCTTCCTGAAATGACACCTGAAATGTAAAGTTTTCCTAACCTGTCAAGTTTTGCTGCAGAAAAAAACATGCCAGTTTCCTGACCATGCTGCTATGAATGTAAGAAAACTCGACTTTTCAGGTCATGGAGGCTCACATGTAAATCTGACAGGCGGAGGCAGCAGAGACACATAGGAGGTTGATGAAGCTAGCTCCTGATGGGCACTTCATGTCTTCAAAAGATGGGAATAACTTCTCAGAAATACCCACATTATCCTGTACCCAGAGCTAAAAGAGACGCTCACTTATAAATAGTCAGTAGCTATTTTGGACATATTTTCAAGCTCCAAACTTGTGACCAATTTAATAAGAAAAATAAACACAAATCAGACAAAATACTGGACTTTGGGTAAAACAAACCAGATGAATTAGAACTCTGGCATCGGAAAATTGCCACACAATTTAAAATGATAATTTCATAATTAATGAGGTTGAACAAAGATTGATGTCCACAAGTTCACTCTCTCACAACTATGGTATTAGGAGTAGCCATATGTAGAAACATTAACATACCCAACAACCAGACTGAGTATTAATAAGCGCTGCTGGCATATTCAGGTCATACATTCAATAATTTCATGCCAATTGCCTGATAACACTTCTGATATCTAAGCATGCTTGGCCAACAATAATCTCTTGTTCAGTACAGCTGGCAGGCATTGATATGTGCTTCGCTTGGCCTTTCATTCCATGAATAACATGCAGCCTTCTGGCTTAATTCTCTGTGCAGCCATAATGCTGCACACTGCATTTGAGTTACATTAACTTTTTTAAGACATGATGAAAAAATGTATTTAAATTATCTTTGTTTTAAAATCATTAATTGCAGCAACTACCAATCAGCATTGAGACATTCAGCCTTAAAGCAGTATTAAACCCAAGAATAAAAAAAAAAATCATATATATTCAAGCTTACCAATCTTTAGATGTGGTGGCTGCATTAGTTTCTTTTTTTTAGACTTTCTTTCCTTTAATTTCACCTGCTGATTTGGACAGCAACACACTTTTTGTCTTATGGTGTCTCCATTCTGAATGGAGGAGTAATGGAGACAACCTTTGGACAGCAGCATTGTCATTCTGAGGAGAGGGGAGTGCTAGGCGCGCTTGCAGATTTAGATACATAAGTGACACACTTGTAGCACTTTTTAAGAAGTTACAGCAATAGTTATTAACTTCCTTTTGGGATAAAGGTTTTACATGAATAAAAGCCAAGCATTTTAAGCACTTCTGTCAGTGTTAAATGGTTTGCCTCAATCTTCTAACTAATACTTTTGATGGACAGCTTGGTCTGTTAAAGGAAGTTGCAAAATAAAAGCCTTACTAGCCAGATCACCTTGGGAAAATAAAGGAAAAAAAGCCTGAAAAAAAAAAACTAATGCAGCCACCATATCAACCAATTAGTAAGCTGCAATTCAATAAGCTTTTGTTTTAGGATTTAATACTGCTTTAAGGTTTTATTATGTACACTAACACACAGCTACACCCAGTGCTGAATTTTCAGTCCTGGATGTAATTATATTTTCAATCAACCCAAAATCTATTTTTATGTTTACAATTAGCTTTAATATAAGAGCAAATAAAAACAATCTGTCACTCGATTGGTATATTTAAAAAAGCTCATGAGGTTAATATACAGTAGAGCACTTTGTTGTATAGTATATTCGGTAACAAGAGCACAGGCTGCCATTAGCAGATAGAGCAAATACTTACTGGAGCAGTGTGTTCTTTACGTCCCTTGTGTGATGAGGCCACATGAGCCAGGTACTGGATGACTTTCTTGGTGTTTTCTGTTTTTCCTGCCCCCGATTCCCCACTGCAAACATAAATCTTGATTTAATATCTGCTATAAGATGTGTGGCACTGAAGCAGTGTGTCCTCATTTCTCACATGCTATATTGTAGTCATATCTAGCATTAATAAGGACATTACATTCAATATTTTTCTTAAAGTAGATCCTAATTCCAACTGGATGATTTTTAGTTTGCTAAAGCTTTGAGTATCATAACTAGTTGCCATGTTTTTTTTTTTTTCCAGAAGATACTGTTTTCACAAATTTTGCTCCTTTTTTTTTTTCATCTCAGTGCCACTGATCTCCTCCATACTGTTTCAGCCACCTCCTGCCTATATGCACTCTCTTTAGCATGAGCTGCACATCATTGCCCAGGACCAGCTTCCTGACAGTGACAACAGAGGACCATGTCTGTGTATCGTCCCTGCCACTTACAGCCTCCATTAGGGGTGAATGGGGACTGCTCCTAGGGTCATCTGGCTTTTTTTTTCTGTCTGTAAACGTCCCTGCATGTTAGCCTAGATGTCCATGCACACACAGGCATTTAGAGGAGTTTAGAGGCAGGGGCATTTACAGGCAGAAAAAAAATTCACTGCCAGCATGTCCAGGAGCAGTGGCGTTTTGCCAGACAAACCATGCTTGACCCGTTAACTCGCCTAAACGCACCTAAGCACTAGGCGCACACTAGGCGCATTTAGTGCTTGAGCGAGAAATCATTTCAATGCCCAGATTAAATTATTATTATGGCAAATGAAATGAATTAATGCCTAAGCTCCTAAACATGTTACATATGTTTTCAAGCATCAAGTGTTTTTTCTGACAAAACACTGCTGCCAGGGGGAAAGGTGTCTAGGAGAGACAGCAAGACGTCCTGTGTGCATGAGGCCTAATGCAGGCCATAGACAGGCCAATTGTTGGCCGATAAACGAAAAATCAGTCGGCCCGTTGCCGATGCTGCCACCAATTTCCAGCATGACCAATAAAAATAAATGAGAAGATCCACGAAAAAACAGCCGACGGGCTGGCCCCACTAACGGCGTGAATATCGGCCGATTTTTCGTGCGGATGAAAATTTGGCCGATAAATGACCCATCTATGGCCTGCATTAGCTTGTGTTTTTGTGAATGAAAGCCTTTTTTTCCAGCTGAAATCATTCACAACACAAACTGACAGTTTTCATTCTCTCATTCCCAAAAATAGCAGAATGCAGGTCTGGACCCTGTTTGTACTAAACCAAAGTAATGAGGAGATGGAGAGTTGCAGAATGGAGAGGGTATGGGGCTCCCTACTGGCTGCACCTCCAACAGGAACGCCAATACTTTTAGGTTTCTGGGGGGTGGAGGTTCGGACTGCAATGGAAAAATAGAAAAATTTATATTATTTAACTTCCATTGTTTGGATCTTGATGGAGACAAGTGCTGTGTGCACAGGATTCTCGGGAAGGGGGGAAAAGTTTTTATCTTCTGGTAATAGATCTTCTTTAAGGATCTAAAATACTAAGCTTGTCACAGATTAGTGTAGGTGCCGATTCATAAACATGCGGATTGGATGCGGTTCGAACCGCATGCAATCCGTATGACATTTGAAATATCATTGCTTCCTATGGTGACTGTTCACATACTGTATGTCCAGTGTACTGGCACTGCAGATTCAGTGTGGATTGAAAAAGAGTCCTGTCTGATTTCTGAGTAGTGCGTTCCAGTTCAGGTGCAGATTACAGGCTATTGACTTCTATGGGAACCGCTTCTAAACCTTACATGTCATCAGTTGTGAACAGGATTGCAGTTCAGGATCAGGTTTCAGCACTGTTTACTCTCCCCCCTCCTCTCCAAAACCAAAGAAAGCCTTGCAAAACTGCACCCAAACTGGCCCTGAACCTGTGAACAGTACAATTCACAGCTGTGTCAGAAAAACCGGTCCTGAATCGTCCCTGAACGCTGATTGCAATCCGCACTGAAACCGGACCTTGATATCTGGAATGCACATGTGTGGATTGGTACTAAATAGTTACAAATTCACAGTTGAATATGTCCACACACTATGTCCCACCATCAATGTTGTAAAAACAAAAGTACTACAGTGGGTATAGAAAAGAATCACCCTCTTTCAAATAATCACATTTTGTTCCTTTGCAGCCTGAAATGAACACAGACACAGTTTTTGTTTTATCCAGCTGTAATTACTCAGTGCAATTTATAACATCCAAGTGAAATATACAACAGAAAAAAAAATAAAAAAATAGAATCACTGAGTTGGAAAAAAGGATCACACCCTCCTAAATATGACTTGTAAATTAAATCCAGTGTAGCTAATCACCTAGTCAATTGCACTCAAAGCCACTTGACTTACAACTGTGATCAGCTGTGGTCATTTTGATTAGCTCACCATGAAAAGAGCTTTTCTGGAGCATTTCAGTCCCTTGTAGTGCAACTGAAGCAAACAATCATATATGGGTGGCAAGGTACTGTCAAAAGATCTCCGAGATAAAGGCAAGAGATGGATTCAAAAAAACTTCAAAGGCTTTATCAATGCCTAGAAACACAGTGAAGTCTGTTATTAAGAAGTGGAAGGTATTTGGTACAACACAGACCCTCCCTGGATCAGGACATTGCTCCAAACTGGATGAAAGAGCCAAGAGGAAACTGGTCCAAGAGGCTACCAAGAGGCCTACAGCAACTCTGAAGCAGTTGCAGGAATATGTGACAACAATATCACAAATTCTCTACAAATGTGGATTGTACGGGAGGGTTGCAAGAAAAAGCCACTCCTCAATAAAAGTCACATGCATTCATGACTGAATTTGCCAAAACACATCTGAGGCCACATGGAAAAAGGTGTTATGGTCAGATGAGACCAACATTTAATTATTTGTCCTCAACACTAAACAATATGTTTGGTGGAACTTCAATACACCTCACCGTCCAAATAACATCATTCCTACAGTAAAGCATGGAGCTGATAACATCCTGTAATGGGGGGGTGGGGGGGTTGTTATAAATTTCTGGATAAAACAAAAACTGTGTCTGTCTTTATTTCAAGCTGCAAAGCAACAAAATGTGATTATTTTAAAGGGGTGATTCTTTTCTTTACCCAATGTATTAAGCTAGACACATACAGAAGGTACTTCTATGGTCAATTCAACATTTACCTATAAATGTCAATTCGACAAGCTCATTCCAGACAGTCCATTGAAATTTAACCCAGTTGTAAGACCCCTATTTTGCACTGCTGATAATACATTTGATGAGACTTATGAAATATTTCCTTGTGTGTCTAACTTTGAATTTTACATAAAAAAAGACAACAGTCCATTATGCAGGTGAAAGCATTTTATACTTAGATGAACATGTTGTAAAACCAGGCATAAAATGCTTTCACCTACATTAAACAGTGCTGGTTTCTTTATTATTACTGACCATGGAACCTCTGGAACTGTGCGCCACTCATTTTGACTCTGCTGGCTTTATGGTAAATGTGTAGAGTAGACTTTTTATACACCAGCTTTCAATGACCACACAGTGGTCTCTGGAGTAAGTGGGAGTCAGTGGCCTAACTGCAGAGGATACAATGGTCAAAACCATGACTAAGTATTGATTCCTTGGAGACCATGTGCTTTTAAAAATGTCCACTGTCATCATCACACTGTGGTCATGGTGACATCATTCATCCCAGAGGCCTTTGGCATTCAGGCATACCCCAGGGCCCACAATAGTCCTTGCCCAATTACCTAAGCTAAAACTGTTTTGCATTAAGATGCTTCCAGTGACACATCACAGACAGATTCAGGGACTGATAGCAAAAAAGCACTACTATGCTACAGATAAAACCAAAGTAGATCCTAAAAAATAGGAGTATTGGACAACATCTGCAAATAGTACAAATTAGCATACAGGCGCAATGTGCAATTTTTAACTGCTTTTGCCACTATTTACATGTGAATGTCAAAGGATCTTCACCCTATAAACAAAAAATTAAAAGTCAGCTACAAATACTGTAGCTGATGACTTTTAATAAAAGGACACTTGCCTGTCCAAGGATCCAGTGTCATCCTCACCCAGGCCGGTTCTTCATTGTTCTTTGGGGCCTGGTGCTGACATCTTTAGTATGGGAAGCCAGCTATGACTCCTTGCAACTTCACGGCTGGCTTCCCACTGCTCAAGTGCAAGCTGCGCTGAGCTTTGTGAATCATCCCGCAGCCTTCTGGGGCCTGTGACATATCGCAAAAGGCAACGGGCACAAGGGAGGACTGAACGTCCGCTCAGATCACCTAGGCGATCCAAGAAGAAGTGGGAGTGGGTACCTGTCAGAACTAGGTACCCCCCCCCAAAAAAAAAAAAATTAATTTGTGAAAGTTGAAAAGGATCAAGAGAGGTGGTAGAAAAGTGAAACTTCCCCTTTTAGTGAAAGTTCCACAGACCTATGGCTAAGGCTGGCTATACAGTGATCAGTTAAAAGGATTCTTCCATCCACACAAGTGGGGTGTATGGAGGAATCCTCCCTGCTGTGTTGTTGTATTCTGACAGCAGGGACTCCTCCATTGTCAGAATACACTGATAAACACTGCAGCCTACTGGTTACAACACTGATCAAGCAAACATTTTCCAACAATCATTAAATCGACTTAACATGAACAGTTATGGCCATACTTGGAAGCAGACGACTCTCAATCTGTCTATGGGATATCTATTGTCCCTCCAACTTCTAACCTTGAGCCAATATACTTGTCAGCATATGAAGATGATTAACAAGGATGTGCTGGTCATGTGTATGAATTCATTTTAATCCTTGATTTGTCCTGGAGACCACCGTCACCAAAACACAAAGTGAGGGGAAATCCAAACTGTTATTTCTTATTTTTCATTTCTATTACTTTTTACGCAAACAATGAAATCCATAGATATAAAAAAGGTACTGCTACTCACGTGCAAAGGATGGACTGATCTTCCCGATCTAAACATAAAGAACAAGACACAAAGTTAACTGGAAAATGTCCACAATCACACTGCTACATTTGAAGATTTCTTGCAGCTAAAGCCATAGAGAATTTAAATCCGATGGGCTGAAGCACATGCAAACCTGAGCAGACAAACATTACATGAAGCATGGTAACATTTGTAAGCTGGCCATAGAAAAAAACTATTTTCTTTCCTGCAACTATGGGTTGCAGGAAAGAAAATTGCTCGATTCCCCAATCAATGCAGTCAGTATTGAAGTGGGAATCCCTCCTGTAGAGCCATTATGTTCTCCCGGCAGGAGAAGCTGTCCCTACCAGGGGAACACAGTGATTACTGCGGGCGACTTTAATAGCCGCAGGCCGATTTAATAGCCGCTAGCAATAATAGCTTGTAAAATCCAACAGGCTGGTTGTACCCAAGTTGGTCAATTAATCAACTTGGGTACATTCAGCCTGCCCATACATGGCTCATCTCAGCCGGTCCCTGCTGAACCAGCCAAGATTCGAACCTATCTATTAAGTGTATTTACATAGATTTTTACAAAGAGATACTACAATTAGCTACATAACATTGCCAACACCTACATGATGGATACAGATGCTGGTGGACAGACTCTTAAAATGTGATGAACAAAGAATTCCCTAATGCTGAAGTGAGAGATGACAAGGAAAAATTGGGGTGGGAGCCTCCTAACTGTGCAGTATGGCAGAGCTGTACAAATCACGAGACTGGCTGAACAAGATTACAAATTCTTATGCAGTTTTAAACAATTCACATATATGCATTCACGCTGTTCATTACGATGTATGCCAAGAGCTCTGCTCAAACAAAAAAAGCCTTAAACTGCTATGTGATGAGACCGTGAAAGGGAAAAAAGGCTTTCCTAAATTAAAAATTCTGTTTTTGACCCTGTGCCACACAGCCAATCAGGGAAGCAGAGGAGTGGCAGAATTGCTAAAATAATCTAAAATAATAGTACTATTCTTATAAATAATCATAACAAATTTCCGAAAACAAAAGTATTACATGGTGCTCAGGACATGTCAGGGCTAAAGTGTATTTTCACTTTTGCAGCCCAATTGCTATACCACCTACTTTATATTTGTTGCATGTTACATTTACATAGCTCTTTCCAATAACTCCAGCACTGAAAAATCCTTCTTAGTTTTCTTTGTTTATGAGTGAGCTGGGGGGGGGGGGGGGGTTGCATTTGCCATAATTAACCCTATCTGTACTCTGCTGGCAGATCTCATTATCAGTTGTAAACTAGATTTGAATACTGCCTGCCCTAACAAAGCTTTAAAGATTTAGATGTTTTCCTTTGCATGTTACTGAGTAGAAACGGAGCCCTCCTTGAGACAGAGTCACTCTGAGATTGTTTAGAAATGCTTTCTGTCTGCCATGAGGGTCTTCTACTGACAGACATATAAAAATAGGATTTGTATTTATATATTTATTTTTAGGTATGCTGCATGAATGGGAACACAAAAAAAACTTATAGTGGGGTTTTCTCAACTTTGACAAAAATACACTTTAAAACGGAGCTCCAGGCTCTCCCCAAAAAAATGAAAAGTCAGCAGCTACAAATACTGTAGCTGCTGGCTTTTAATATAAGGACATTTACCTGTCCAGAGATCCAGCAATGTCCTCACCTGAGCTGATTCTTCAACCGACTTCAGGTGCAGGAGCCGCCATCATAAGTAAGGGAAACCAGCAGTGAAGCCTTGCAGCTTCACATCCGCTTTCCTACTGCACATTAACAATGTGCGCTGCACTATGTGAATGGGTCACAGTATTCCAGGGCCTGTGAAGTGTCCCAGAAGGCTGCAGAGGAAGAAGGGGGGCTGAAGTCAATACCAGGTACTCACTCCCCCCCATAAAGTGCCAAATGTGGCAGTGGGGATGGGGAGGATGTAGACAAGCGGAACTTCCCCTTTTGGGTGAAGTTACGCTTTAAAGCCAAGTTGACTACCACTAATCAAGAGGAAGAGAAAAATCATTATAAACTATGATTCATTTTGATTTAATGGGGAAAAAAATCCTCCCACAGCCACAGTATACATTTCAACATTCTACTTTTTTTTTTTTTTTTTTTTTACAAATGTAAGAAATCCTTTACATTCTCTCCTTCTGGAAACCATCCAAGTCTTTTTCGAAGCAATCAACTGTATGTAATATAACAAGTTCCTAGGGTACACTATTTCACTTTTAACTGTAAAGAACACTCCTACAGGTAGAGATCAAAGCAGAAATAAGGGCATTAAATTAAAAAAGAAAAAGCTATGAGGTTGTTTTTTTGGCAGAAGTGACATGGAAAGATTCCTCTGCCAAAATAAAAGCCTTCCAATTGTTCCTAGCAACTTTTATTTTATGTACACTGCCGGTGAAACATGCACAGTGCAGTGTACACTCCCAGCTCATTCACAGCCTTTAAAATATACAGAGAATGGAGCCGGGTGTTGGTACGAGGTTACTCCAGAACCCATGTGGAGGAGTTATACTATCTTTGGCTATTTAATGGCAGATGCAGAAGATGCTGGACCCAGAACGAAGATCAAGCAAAGATGTCAGCAATTGGGGATTGGGTGTCGATGGGGGGTGCATATATTACAGCTGTAGAGGAAGGAACATTACATGTTAAAGGAGAAGTTAACCATTCATAACATGTTACATCCTTATTCAGAGTGTATGAATGTACTGGCCTCCGCTCCCCCTCTTTGACAACTAGCAGGGAATCTTATCCGCCTTTGCTAGCTGTCAAATGTTAAAAAACGGAGCCTTAGCGGCTGTCTGCTAGTAGTTCTCAATGAACTATCACCGCACTGTAGAGCACCATGGTAGTTCATTGAGTCTTCCTGTTAGTATATCTGCTTGCTTGTACATCCCGTACGGGCAATCAGATATACTGACAGATCTGCAGAAGACCTGTATAGGAGCAGCGATCGCCTGATCGCTGGTGAAATGGTTTACAGGCTCCTGCAACAAAGAATAATAAATGCACATTTTTTTACCTGCAAAAAAAATGCGCACTGATTATTTTTTCTATAAATGTGAACGTATCATTTAAAAGCTTGTCTCCACTGGTATTACCAATTTAACACTCAAAAACGCTTGAAAATATGCCCTGCAGTTTTTAGGAGTTTTCAAGTGGTTTTTGAACATATGTGACCACCCTTGGGTTGGGAAATTAGAAGGTTTCCCCACATTCCGTCATAAATCTAAAAAATGTAAGCTGCAGTCTAAAATGTAGCTCTTCTTTCTGGGTTTAATAAATGTCAAAAAAGACTGCATACAATAATGTCTCTACCCAAAACCAATGCGTTTCACCACTGCTGACTTGCTTACAAGGACAGAGGAGGTCGTCAACTGCCCCACGTTGTCACTCTTAAATGCTGCACTTTACTTTTTTTTATGCACTGCAATGATGCTTCTGTGGGCACTGTGCATATCAGTTGCATTGTCATGGTGTTACGAGGTGGTTCTGGGGGTTTTGAAGGCTGGAAAAAAAACCCCACCCTGTTTGCCACCAATGGAGGCAAGTACTAAGCAGGGGCAGACTGACAACTCATGGGGCCCCCGGGCAATAGGGGATCATGGGGCCCCTGTGTCCTTGCACAAATTTTATGTGACAGACCACCACAAAGTGGAGCATAATTGTGAAGTGGAAGGAAAATGCTAAATGTTTTTAAAAAATGTTTACAAATAAATATGTGAAAAGTGCAGCATCCATTTGTATTCAGCCCAGGGGCGGACTGACAACACATGGGGCCCCCGGGCAATAGGGGATCATGGGGCCCATGTGTCCTTGCCCAAACTCAAAAAAGTATATGAAAAAGGTACCAGGGGCATCTCATGGGGCCCCCTACTGACCCCGGGCCCTCGGCCAGTGCCCGAGTTTCCAAATGGTCAGTCCGCTCCTGGTACTATGTGTGCTCAAATATACAAGTATACTGTGCATGCACATTATCACTAAAGCCCACCCACACTGCAGGTGGTACAGTTTCACTTTAAAGGATATGTTCACCTTTTAGAACATGCTACATGTTCCACCCATATTTAGGGTCCCAGTGACAGCAAGCGGGGAACTTCCCTGGGCGTCCACTGTCACTATTTGAAAATAACTTTAATTAACGTTTTTCCTGCAAAAATAAATTGTTTCCACTTTTCCAATGATAGGGTTGTCTTGTGTAACAACCTTTTCAAAGAATTTCTATATATTCTTTCTTTTAGGTGTTCTGCAGGTATGCAAAAACCAACATGTAAAAATCAACCTGTCCATGAATGTATTTTCTGTCACGACACAAAGCATCTCACCTTGAAGCATGCTACGATAGGCTGTTTCTGATATTGCGTATATGTGTGGAGGCATTTCATGACGTTTCTTCCCTCTGTACATTTCCACTATTTGTTCTGTGTATATTGGCAGGTTTTTGTAAGGGTTGATCACTACACAGAAGAGGCCTGAATATGTCTGTATATAAAATAAAAAGAAATTAGCAGCATTAGTATACATTTAAATACAAAACACAACAGCAAAGAAAGACTCCTTTCTACTTCAAAAATAGATCCCAGTTTCTTTAAAATGCAGACACTCTGGCCCAGTGCTCTCAGTACTCAGAAGGTTTGAAGCTGTATGCAGATCCAGAAAGAGATTAAGAGTTCACACTGATGCGGTGCGGCATATCGCATATGATTCGCACAGGAACTGCACCACACCTCTGAGCAAATCACATGCGATTTCTGTGCAGTGCAGTTTGAGCCATACATTTTGAATGTCGTAAAAATATAGTGCAGCGCTGTGATAAGGATATATAAAACAAATAAGCGAGCATAAAGTTCATAAATGCTTCACAAATGTGAAAACAATTTTGCAGAAAACTTGAAGTGAGAATCTTCTTTATATCAGGTGACTGGAACCGTATAGATAAAATGCGCACTCACCGACTGCACATTAAATATGCGCATGTATATTATATATTATTATTATACAAGTATTTATAAAGCGCCAATAGTTCGCTCAGCGCTGTACATTACAAAGGGGGACAGAACATGTGACAGAACAATACCAATACAATGCAAAACATGAGGGGATCGAGGGCCCTGCTCTTTCGAGCTTACAATCTAGAATATATATATGACCATCTATCCAGGTAATCAGCCAGACACACGGACCATCCCTCCCAGGTGGATCATCAGCCTTGGGTGTAGTGATATGCAGCAAGGTCCAGAGAGCACTCAGAGCCAGTAAGTGAAGGTGGATGAGCTACCTCTTCTGGGTACAAGATACACTAGGAACCAGCTGCTGTAGATCTGAAACCCTCAGAGAGAGGGTCAAAAACAGAGAGGGGGTGCCAATAGTGTAGTAGGTTCAAGCTAATTTATTTGGTCACAAGCAAAATAACATCCAGGGGTACATGTAGATAAATGTACTGCCAGAATTGAGTGGACAGAGAAACAAAATAAACATGTACTGACCCGGCACAGTAAAAAACTGCCGGACCTCCTCGTGGTCACGGCGGTGCAGAAAGTCACACGTGCTGCTGGCTCCTCCTCTAGGAGGTCCGGCGGTTTTTTACTGTGCCGGCTCAGTACATGTTTATTTTGTTTCTCTGTCCACTCAATGCTGGCAGTACGTTTATCTACATGTACCCCTGGATGTTATTTTTCTTGTGACCAAATAAATCAGCTTGAACCTACTACACTATTGGCACCCCCTCTCTGTTTTTGACCCTCTCTCTGAGGGTTTCAGATCTACAGCAGCTGGTTCCTAGTGTATCTTGTACCCAGAAGAGGTAGCTCATCCACCTTCACTTACTGGCTCTGAGTGCTCTCTGGACCTTGCTGCATATCACTACACCCAAGGCTGATGATCCACCTGGGAGGGATGGTCCATGTGTCTGGCTGATTACCTGGATAGATGGTCATATACATGTGCATATTTAATGTGCGGTCGGTGAGTGCGCATTTTATCTATACGGTTCCAGTCACCTGATATAAAGAAGATTCTCACTTCAAGTTTTCTGCAAAATTGTTTTCACATTTATGAAGCATTTATGAACTTTATGCTCACTTATTTGTTTTATATATCCTTATCACAGCGCTGCACTATATTTTTACGACTTATGTTATGAGGTCTAGTGATTCCTTGGAGTGTTCTAGCAGCTGAATATATGAGCGCTCGCTATATTCTTCCTTTTTGAATTTTGTCTGTTGTAATACATTTTGAATGGTTCAAATCGCACAGCATCCGCACCAAAAAAAGTGCAGGACCCTTTTTTTGTCCGCTCTAGAATCGCATTGCATGGGTGTTCACACGCGATCTGATTCTGCACATTGCACCATGTTTTGCGAACTGATTTCGGGGTGTCATTAACTTAAAATACAGCGGTTCGTATGAATGGGGGGCAATTATGATGCGGTGTGAAAATTGCACAGAAACCAGTGCAAATTCCGCAACACATCAGTGTGAACCTGGGCTCAGAGCCACTGTTTCCCTATCAGGTCATTACCCTTTTGATTGATAGCAGACAGTGGGGTGATCATTAGTCAACAGAAAGCCCACTATTGGCTACAGAATCCACCCACTGCCTGCTGTCAACCGCAAGGAGACAGTGGATCGGATGGGGAACAAGTGTCTCAGCTTTGCTGGTTGCTAGGAGGCTTTTGGCTCTGAATATGGAGAGAGGGTAGTGGCAGAAAACATGCCACTTTGCTTCACAGCATACAAAGCAGGCACTTTGCCTATCTCTGTACGTAAGAGTTGGTCCAGTTTCTAGTGGTGCTATTACTAAGTACCTGAGTCTTCGGCACGTCAGTAAAGCTACTGAAAAAGAGGATAAGAATTTTGTAAACTGGCGCAGGCCATTTGAAGGTCCATAACATCTGCAAAGTGTCATTAGAGCTTTATTGAATTCCCCAGTATATTTCTGGTACGCAGAGTTATTTTGTTCTACTTGCAAGGCGTTTTTTAAATTTTAAGAAAAAGAAAAATCACAGAGTTTGCATTTATTGCAGGACAATTGCATCCACCTAGAGCTGTTTGTTGAAGGTTATATCTCTAAGTGACTTTTTGTAACGCTCCTTGCACATAGGGCTCTCCAGCTGCACCGTGTCCCCCCTGTGTTTCAGTGCGCCTGGGAGGGACAGGTGCAGCGCTCAGCCCCACTACCTGCAGCCTGTGCAAGAACCTGGAAAAAATAGCTGGCACCCTAACGACGTTAGTAAAGAAGATGGCGGCATGGGCCCAACATGTGGTGGCATACCGGGGTGCAATGAAGAAGGAGAACACTGGATTCTCTAGACGTATGGGTACAGTACTAGATTTGAGTTAGGGGCATCAGAGTAAAGGGGGCTGAATACAAATGCATGCCACACTTTTCACATATTTGTAAAACATTTTGAAAACCATTTATCATTTTCCTTCCACTTCACAATTATGTGCCACTTTGTGTTGGTCTATCACCAAATAAAATCCCAGTAAAATATATTAATTTTTTTTTTTTATATTACAATCTTTTTATTGAAAAGAACAAATGTACAAAGATGAAGTGTACAAGGATGAGAGGTATTGAGCTCTCAGGACAACATTCACATGTTCCATTTATGTTTTTGGTTGTAACATGACAAAATGTGGAACATTTCAAGGTGTATGAATACTTTTTCAAGGCAGTGTATGTAGTTTGAGAACAACCAAGGGTATAAGGTTAAAAAAAAAAAGAACATAAAGTAGCACAAAACAGCATTTTCTCCACCAAAGGGTATCTTTCACTACTCTTTGATAAAATAAAGCCAATAATAACATTAAAAAAGCAGATGCCGAAATATGAAAACTAAGTGGTTGACACATACTTTACTGGCAATGAGTTTACTGAAATGATACTTATAGTAGAAGTACCAGTATATTTTAATTTTTAGTCTACTTAACTGGACATGAAGATTCCAACCCTTTAGTGAAACAAAACACCTTTAGCGGGCAGGGCACAACTTTCACATATAACTGCCATTCTTATTAATGGACCATATCTATGTGATGAGGTGTGCATTTTGGAGACCTTCCAAGATGTGCCTATTATTCTACGCATGACTGATCCTTCATAAGAAATTAAATCTGTTTGCTAATATAGACAACTGTGCTAACATTAAATTATTTCTCACAAAGCTTCTTTACTTATTAGTGATATAATGGAAAGATTGGCCATTTGATTATTTATTATAATTCACAGCATAACTATTCTAACATTTTCAGAATTGCTGTACATGTAGTTCCTGGTCATTCACCAACTTGGTGTAATAAAAGCCCATGTTTCCTCTGATTTGTCAAATATGCTACAAAATGGCATTATGCGCCATACGACATTGAATCAGCAACTGACAAATATGTATAATCAGAGACAAGCCATGCACTATACAGTGTAAAAGGAGAAAATCAAATATATAAGCTGAATTGAACAAACTGATGACAAATATTCAACTGATAGCAAAAGAAGTCTGCCACTAAGGGCCCGCTTGCCATAATACTTGCAGGCTGGTGTGCAGGGCTGCTGTTAGAAACCACGGGGCCCCATACAGCCAACCTGACAGGGCCCCCTCAAAAGAAAAAAAGAAACTGTTTACTATGCTTCCGTTATAAATTAACACAATGAGTGATTGGTACCAATCTCTCATTGTGTTCATTCAGGAAAGTAAGGGGCTGGTAAATGTGACATTTACCGGACCCTTCCCTCAGTCTCCATCCTGAAGGAACCTTTTGCGTGACTGCAATTGCTGGTGGGAAGGAGAGGAGGGAAGCCAGAAGCACTGCAGGGGTGGGGCACACAGGGGGCCCTGGGTAGCAAAGGGAAACATATAGTGCACAGGGAGGGTGATAGGTGTGGCGGGGGGGGGGGGGGGTGAATTACTGGAACACACCCCCTATACTGCTCTCTCTGCAACAGATGAAAGCCAGCAGGAGGGAGAGGAGAAGAAGTTAGCTGCTGCAGAGAGTCATACAGGGGATTGGTTCCAGTAATTGCTCCACTACTGTGCCGATCACCGTCCCTGCCCACAAATCTGATTCACCCAGCTGCCTGGGCCCCCTGCTGGCCTTGGCCCCGTACAGGAGGACTGGTGGTACCCCCTTATCCATGGCCCTGCTGGTGTGTGCTGTGTAAGGGCAGTGAGGGGCACTGCAATGTGTTGTTTCAAAACATTGCACAATTTACTTTTTATTTTGTAAATTTACTGAAGCGTCATAAAAATTACACTTTATTGAACTCAATGCAGCAACTGCAGGGCACACCACAATGCATCTGCATGGTGACAACAGAGCACATTTATTTTCACAATTGTTTTTTGCTGTGCCCTTGTGTTGAGCCAGTGCAGATCAACACACCACAACGGATCTGGCATGAACAAACCCTGCTAGAATCAAAAGCACAACAATGATCAGTTGTATACTGAAAGAATAACATTGTGTTTAAACCAGATGCATCACTGAAAATGGTCTTAGACCCCATTCACAGCTGTGCAATTTCATGTAAACACGTAATATATGGTGACGTGCCTGAAACATATGTAAACAGTGTTTAACCAATAGCAACCCGGCCAATAGCTGTTTGGCATCTGGTAAAATGTTGTAGATTTCCGGGTGGACGCCATATGGCGTACTCCCGGGCACGGTCAGTTTTCACGCTTGCAGACCCATGCAGCAGCGCGATCTGTCACCGGCCATGTACCTCGGACACGGCCGATGACAGATCTGAGTACCGGCCCCCGTTGCCGGTACCATGTGACCTGCTGTGACCAATCACAGCAGGTCACATGACAGTTGTATACAATGGATGGCTTCATTCATGCCATCCATTGTATACTAGTATCTAGCTGTGAATGGTCACAGCAGGTCACATGCACATGTCATGTGATTAGCTGTATCCAAATCACAGCTAAGCACAAAAAAAAAAAAAAAAAAAAAAAAAGCCTGAATGAATCGATGTCATTCGGGGTAAATGCTTGCTTATAGCAAAGTAAATCTTTGCTATAAGCAATTGTGTAAAAAAAAAAAAATACTGATCACTTCCCCAAAGTAGTACAATGTTACTATGGTAACATTGTACTACTTTGGACATAGTGAAATATGAAAACAAATCTTAAAAAAAAAATGTAATAAAAAATAAAAAAATAAATATATATATATATTTTTTTTCATACTGTCACCAGTCAGTGTCCCTGATCACCGCCATGCCAGTTATATGATGACGTTGTACTGCACTGGTGACAGTATGTTAAAAAAAAATAGTGAAATGTATTTTTTTAATTTTTTAATTTTTCGAAAAATTCTGACAAAAAAAATACAACTTCAAAAAACTCGCCATGCCTCTTATGAAATACGTCGGACTGTCTACTTTGCAAAAAGGGGTCATTTGGGGGATATCTGTACTGTTCTGACATTCTTGGACCTCAAGAAATTAGCTGTCAGTACTTCAGGATTGATCAATATTCAGATCTATACCATAGTTTGTGAACTCTATAACTTTCCTACAAACTAAAAAATACATCCTAATTTGGGTTATTTTCACCAAAGACATGTAGCAGAATACATCTTGGCCTAAATTTATGAACAACAATTATTTATTTGCAAACTTTTATAACAGAAACAAAGAAAAACGTGTTTTTTTTTCTACATTTTCGGTATTTTTTTGTTAATTTAGCAAAAAATAAAAGTGATTAAATACCACCAAAAGAAAGCTCTAGTTGTGTGAAGAAAATGATAAAATGTTAGTTTAGGTACAATGTTGTATGACCGCGCAATTGTCATTCAAAGTGTGAGACCGCTGAAACCTGAAAAATGGCCTGGGCAGGAAGGGGTAAAAGTGCCCGGTATGGAAGAAGTTAAAAGACAATGCACCTAATTTGCAGCAAAAACAGATTTGAACTGGCCCTTAGAGTTTGAATTAGGCCTCATTCATACAAGGTGTACTAAAGTGTAGGCCCATGGAGGGCCGTGTACAGGCATTCTGTGCATCTCCACTGATGTCAATTGTAATGTAGCAGCTGCATGAAAACAGCCGCTGCTCTTAATCTGACATCCATGTGGGTCAGGGGCAGGGGCGGACTGACCATTTGAGCACTCGGGCACTGTCTGAGGGCCCAGGGTCAGTAGGGGGCCCCATGAGATGCCCATGGTACCTTTCATTGTCTTTTTCATAGGCTTTTTGCCCGGTGGCCCCATGAGTTGTCAGTCCGCCCCTGGTCAGGGGGCATGTGGGGGAGTGCGGGTGCGTGTCCCTGAACTTACATAGTGTAAATTCTGGGACACGCACCTGAACCAACATGAATAGCACCAACATAGAAGCAGTGGTTGTGTCCATGGTACTGCCTGTACGGGGATGCATGCAACACCTGAGCATCCCTGTGAAGGTAAACATGGCTTTCCGTGGCTATAAGCTGTAGTACAGCCTCTGTGAACAATGTCTTAGCATACTCGGTGTGAACGAGGCCTTAGTATGCTCGGTATGAACGAGGCCTTAGTATGCTCGGCCTTAGTGAACGAGGCCTTAGTATGATGACGAGGCCTTAGTATGCTCGGTATGAACGAGGCCTTAGTATGCTCGGTGTGAACGAGGCCTTAGTATGCTCTGTGTGAATGAGGCCTTGGTATGCTCGGTGTAAATGAGGGCTCGGTATGCTCGGTGTGAACGAGGGCTCGGTGTGAATGTGGCCTTAGCATGTGTGGTGTGAACAAGGCCTTAACCTGCTCTGTGTGAACATGGCCTTAGTATGCTCTGTGTGAATGGTAGTTTGCTCTTGAACGTGGCCTTAGTATGCTCTGTGTGAACGTGGCCTTGGTATGTTCTGTGTGAACGAGGCCTTAGTATATTGGGTGTGAACGTGGCCTTAGTATGCTTTTTGTGAACGAGGCCTTAACATGCTCAGTGTGAGCGAGGCCTTAGCATATTTGGCGTGAATGAGGCCTTAGTATGGTCTGTGTGAACGAAGCCTCAGTATGGTCTGTGTGAACAAGGCCTTAGTATGGTCTGTGTGAGCGAGGCCTTAACGTGCTCAGTGGGAGCTATGCCTTAGTATGGTCTGTGTGAATGAGGCCTTAGTATGCTCGGTGTGAACAAGGCCTTAGTATGCTCGGTGTGAACGAGGCCTTAGTATGCTCTGTGTGAACGAGGCCTTAGTATGCTCTGTGTGTACGAGGCCTTAGTATGCTCTGTGTGTACGAGGCCTTAGTATGCTCGGTGTGAACGAGGCCTTAGCATGCTCGATGTGGACAAGGCCTTAGTATGCTCGGTGTGAACGAGGCCTTAGTATGCTCGGTGTGAACGAGGCCTTAGTATGCTCGGTGTGAATGAGGGCTTATTATATTTGGTGTGAACGAGGCCTTAGTATGCTCGGTGTGAACGAAGCCTTAGTATAGTCTGCGTGAACAAGGCCTTAGTATGCTCAGTGTGAACAAGGCCTTAGTACGCTCGGTGTGAACGAGGCCTTAGTATGCTTGGTGTGAACGAGGCCTTAGTATACTCGGTGTGAACGGGGCCTTAGTATGCTCGGTGTGAATGTGGCCTTAGCATGTGTGGCGTGAACAAGGCCTTAACATGCTCTGTGTGAACGTGGCCTTAGTATGCTCTGTGTGAACGTGGCCTTAGCATGCCCTGTGTGAACGTGGCATTAGTATGCTCTGTGTGAACGTGGCCTTGGTATGTTCTGTGTGAACGAGGCCTTAGCAAATTGGGTGTGAACGTGGCCTTAGTATGCTCTGTGTGAACGAGGCCTTAACATGCTCAATGTGAGCGAGGCCTTAGCATATTTGGTGTGAATGAGGCCTTAGTATGGTCTGTGTGAACGAGGCCTTAACATGCTCAGTGGGAACGAGGCCTTAGTATGGTCTGTGTGAACGAGGCCTTAGTATGCTCAGTGTGAACGAGGCCTTAGTATGCTCAGTGTGAACAAGGCCTTAGTATGCTCGGTGTGAACGAGGCCTTAGTTTTTCTACAAGTGCATGCCGCAGCATCCTCGCTCAATCAAATGTAGTCATTTTATCACACAGAAACCGAGTTTGTGTTAGAGGAAGAGACACAAACATATATATTTTTAAACTGTGAGAAATAAAGGACCAGAGAACGTGAACTATAAAAATAAATCAGGAAAGGAAGAGAACTGAAATCCATTTCCTGACACAGAAGCCAAGTGACCACACCTACTCCTCATGGTACTCCTAAAGTCTATGGTAGCAGAATGACTCCTACAATTACAGGCGTCTCTAGTCAGTTCTCATTTGCCCGTTAATTAGAGGGGAGAAAGCGGCTCAATACCTAGCAATTCTCATCAGTCACATTTTTCTGGAAGGTTTTAATGCTCGATGACAACTGTGTGTGAAAGCAATAATACTAGTTTATGTCATTTGTATTTATTGCATTTTTAAACCTTGTACTTTTAATTTTAGGGAATAATCAATATATTATATGCAGTAATCAATTAGTGCAATCAGCACACTTACTAATTAAACACTCGATCATTAGTTTTGTATATATAAAAAAAAATACTGTTTGCATTGCATGTATGAGTGTGCAGTGTGCTGGTTTTGTAAATATTCCTGTTTTAAAATAAAGTTTAGGAGGTGGGTGTATAAAAATTCATGCATTAAACTTTTTACATTACCTATATTTGTATTCAAGTCACACATTTATTTCTTAACACATCAAGCCCAGCTTTGAAATCGCGCGACTTACAGTGAAGTCGCACGATTTCAAAGTCAGGGGACATGCTGATTTCAGGTGCGATTTGCAAAACACCTGACATAGATGTCTATGCAAATCGCATGAAAAGTAGTGCATGTACTACTTTAGAAATCGGTGCTGCTCCAACCAAGGATTTGACCACTGTAACTGTGGACAATAGGGTGCAACTTGGCATACTATTTGCAAGTCGCATGGCATGCATATTCGCATCCAATTCGCACCCAGTGCAACCGGGGTGTAAAGGTCCTAAATAATCAATCTGCTATAGCACTCCAGGCATGCTAACACTGCTTGAGAGATTATATTAGCATGCTTTAATGGTTATTACAGCTTGATGATTTAGGCCAGTGATGGTCAATTTATGAGCTAAAGGGGGCCTAAAATACAGCCCATGACATCACCAAAAGGCTGCACAATATATCCATGTATATGCAGTACACATGGTTTGCATTTCCGTGTAGGAGGCATGCGCATGCCATGTAAACAATACAGATCCCTCCCCTGTCAGCTCCTGCACACTGCTTGGAAAGTACACACACAGCAGCACAGTAAAACACAGCACAGCACACAGTTAACCCTTTGATTGTCCCTCATGTTAACCCCTTCCTGCCCAGTGTCATTAGTACAGTGTCAGTGCTTTTTATTAGCATTGATCACTGTATTGGTGTCACTGGGGATGTCAGTGACAGTCAGTTCTCCCTCAATGTCAGAATGCCCGCCGCTATACGTCGCTGATCGTCGCCATTACTAGTATATAAAAAATACAAATAAAAAATTTCAGTATATATACCACCATTTGTAGACACTATAACTTTCACGTAAACCAATTAATTTACACGTAGTGGGATTTTTTTCAGCAAAGACATGTAGCAGAATACATTTTTGCCTAAATTTATGACGAGATTTGATTTTTTAAAATTTTTTTACTTGACATGTGTAATAGCAAAAAGTCAAAAATACAGTTTTTTTCTCAAAATTGTTGGTCTTTTTTTTTAATACCGCAAAAATTAAAAAACGAACAGACGATTAAATACCACCGAAAGAAAGCTCTATTTGTGGAGAAAAAAAGGGACATAAATTTCATTTGGGTGCAGCATTGCATGACCCGGGGCGGACTGACCATTTGGAAACTCAGGCACTGCCCGAGGGCCCGGGGTCAGTAGAGGGCCCCATGAGATGACCCTGGTACCTTTTTCATAGGCTTTTTTGTGTTTGGGCAAGAACACAGGGGCCCCATGATCCCCTATTTCCTGGGGGCCCCATGAGTCCACCCCTGTGCATGACCGCACAATTTTCAGTTAAAGTAACACAACGCCATATCGCAAAAAATGGCCTGGTCAGGAAGGGGGGTAAATCCTCTGGAGGGTAAGTGGACATGGAATGCTTGAGAGCACTGTCAGAAACTGCAGACGCAATCGAGGTAATGAGGGTCGGAAGGTGTGGACATGCTACATATTTGGCTGGATATGCTACAGAAGACAATACAAAGCTGGGAACATGTTACAGGAGCAGGGTTGCCCCCTTTTTCAAGCCAACCCCAAACACTTTTTTTGTTTTGTTTTATGTGGCTGGAGCTGTGCGCAGGCAGCCTATATTAACCTATCAGGACGCAGGAACTGTACGAACACAGAGTCCTAATTTGACAGTTGTGTGGATGCACACGTACGGCCCGTAACACAGACAGTATGCAATCCGGGCCACTCACCAGCACCTGCTTACCTGTCAAATTAGGATATGCAGCTGTGTTTGTACAGCCACTGCATCCCCATAGAGTAACAGGTGGCTTCAGTTGTACAAACAAACCTCTCATTCACACTTTATGGACCAGATAACCCTTTTGAATGAGCACTTTATTTTTCATAATTTTTTTTTTACATTTTTAATTATCTTTACATTTTTATTATTTGTTTTAATTTTTGTTATTTTTTTAAAAGACCCCTGAAGTCTCACTTTTGATGCTGAGGAAACACATTCCCAGTTCCTTTTTGCAGAGAATGAATGAACAAGTCCAGCTCTGCACAACCTTCCTGTTCATTTATAAACTGAAGCATAGTAAACAGTTTACTATGCTCCAATTATAAATGAACACAGTGAGTATTCGGTACCACTCATTCACTGTTTTCATTCAGAAAAGGAAGGGGTTGGTAAAGTACAGTTTTACCCACCCCCTTTGCTTACTCTCTGTCCTGAAAGCATCCCCACAGCAGCTGACAGGGGAGTAGAGGGAGTGAAACTAGCAGCGCTCTGGGGGAAGCACATGGGGGCCCAGGCAGCAGGGGAAAGAAAATGGAGAACACAGAGGGTGATCGGTTCAGCAGGGGGGTGGGGGCAGTTACAGGAACCAATCATCTGTATAGCTCTCTGTGCAGTAGCTGAAAGCAGAAGAAGGGAGACGAGGAGAAGCTGGCTTTAAGCTACTGCAGGCTGAGCCGTGAGGCTATCGGATCTTATAACTGCCCCTCTGACCCCTGAAGCTTCCCCAGTGTGCATGGGGTGA